AAAGGCAACCCACAGGATGCGGAAATATTTGCAAATCACATATCTGATAATGAATTAATATCCAGACTATATGGAGAGCTTTTAAAATTCAACAAAAACCAATGAACCCAATTCAAGATTGGGCAAAGGACTTAGACATTTCTCCAAAGAAGATACATGAATAGCCAATAAGCACATAAATCACCATCACTAAGCCTTAGGGAACTGCAAATTAAAACTGGAATGAGGGTGCCTGGGTTGCTCAGTCAGTTAAGCGTCTGCCTTCGGCTCAGTTCATGATTCCAGAGTCCTGGGATGAAGCCCTACATCGGGCTCCCTGCTCACAGCAGAGAGTCTGCTTCGCCCTCTGCCCACCCCTCTCATTTGTGTGTACTCTCTCTCTCAAATATAAACAACATCTTTAAAAAGAGAGAGAGATAAAACTGCAATGAGATAACACCTTACACCCTTTAGGATGGCTACTATCAAAAAATTGGAAAATAACAAGTGTTGGTGAGGATGTGGAGAAATTGGAATCCTTGTGCACTATGGGTGGGAATATAAAATGGTATAGCCACTGTGAAAAACAAGTTTTTAACCTCAAAAACTTAAAAACAATTCCATATGACCCAGCAATTTCACTTCTTCATAAATACCCTAAAGAATTGAAAACACGGTTTCAAACAGATATTTGTCCAACCATCTTCATTTCATTATTCACAATAGCTAAAATGTGGAAGCAGCTCAGGTGTCCATTAATGGGGATTAGATAAGCAAATATGGTATATATATCAATGGAGTATCATTCAGCTTTAAAAGGGAAAGTCTGACACAGGCTACAACATGGATGAAACTTGAGGACGTTATGGTAAGTGAAATAAGCCAGCCACAAAAAAGACAAATAAAATATGATTCCACTTATATGAGGTAGTTAGAGTAGTCAAAATCATAGAGACAGAAAGTATAATGGTGGGGCTGGGGGCAAGGGCATTGGGGCATTATTGCTTAATGAGTGTAGAGTTTCAGTTTTACAAGATGAAGAGCTAGGGGGATGTATGGTAGAGAGGGTTGTACAACAATGTGAATGTATTTATTACTACTGAACTCTACGCTTAAAAATGGTTAAGATGGGGCGCCTGGGTGGCTCAGTCATTAACCGTCTGCCTTCAGCTCAGGTCATGATCCAGGGTCCTGGGATGGAGCCCCGTATTGGGCTCTCTGCTCTGCGGGAAGCCTGTTTCTCTCTTTCCTACTTTCCCCTGCTTGTGTTCCCTCTCTCGCTGTGTCTCTCTCTGTCAAATAAATAAATAAAATCTTAAAAAAAAAATGGTTAAGATGGTAAGTTTGATGTGTATTTTACCGCAATAAAAAAAGAAAAAAGAAAACAAAAGGTTAATGCCCTACAGGGCAATAAAACCATGACCTTTAGGGTTATCTTCCCTAAAAGGACAGAAATTTTAACTAAATAGGCCTCTGCAAGGGAGAAAGCAGCCCAGAGTCTAGGTCCCAAATGACGGCAAATACTGAGTTAAATATAGTTACCCTCCCCTGGAGTGTTGGGTGACCCTAGGCAGACTTGCATTATACCATTTTGTCATGAGACTTTAAACACCTAAGTCTTCTTTTGCCTCACTGATAATGATTTCAGAAACAGTCCTATGTTAGATGAAATCATCATTTTGTGAAACACTAACAGTAATTCATAGAATTGATTTGTTTACTCAGTGATTCAACAAATATTTACCAAGTACCTACTATGTGGCCAGCCCTGGTCTAGCTGTTGAGACTACAGCAGGGAAAAAAAAAACAAAGACAAAGCTCCCACCCCCGGGGAACTTGCAGTCCACTGTGAATCCATGGTCAGTATATAAAATGATAGATGTTGTCATAAAGCCATGATTAGGTATCATCAGAAACCAGCCCATGAGCTCCCAGATCAAGGCCTCCCACCCACTGTCCTGAGATGTGCATGAAGCGTGACACTGGCTTGTGGGACACCCTTCTGAGAAGATGAGTTCATTCTTTATTGTGTGCAATATACCATCCTAATCCTACAGAAGGCAGGCAACAAACAACAAATTATAGGAAGAACTCAGCTTTTCTTCTTCTTAAAGAAAAATATAATTATCAAAAGGGAAATTAGAATGGCCCTGGATATTAGAAATGGTTTGGGGCACCTGGGTGGCTCAGTCGGTTAAATGTCCAACTTGCGGTTTTGGCCCCAGTCACGATCTCAGGGTCATGAGATTGAAGCCCATGTTGGGCTCTGAGCTCAGAGGGAAGTCTGTTTGAGATTCTCTCCTTCTGCCCCTCCCCCCGCAAATAAAAATCTTAAAAAAAAAAAAGGTTAAAAATTGGGAATAGGGACAGGAAATCTCAGCAAAATATAAGTTTTAGTCAATGAATTCCTTCTCATTTACTCTTAATGCTACTATTGTTACCCAGTTTTCACCTTCTGTAGCAGGGGAATGGCTATGGATTTCAACTCCCCAGATCGAATGATGCTGTCCGTGCTTGACTTTTGTCACAGACTTGCATTACCCGTTGCTATTCAAGAGAATAATGCAAGCGTGTAGTGCCAGTAAATGTCAACAATGTCAGTGCAAGCAAGAACTCAATCAGGAAGCTCCTCTGAAGCCAATTTGTCAGAATCTTTCATCCTTAAATTGTGTAAGATAACCTAGTGTAGTGGACCCTGTGGTGTCCACACAGAGCCCCTCATCAGACTCAATGCACCTATCCTCCAGCTACTAAGGACTCACAGCTGTGATCCCCACGGGGCATTGCCCTCAGACATAAGGGGCTGCCTCTCTGGAGGCTAGACCTTCCCAGGACAATGACTGGCTGATGCAGGGACACAAAGACAAACCGTGATTCAGCCTCAAGTGTAGATATCCCAGGAAAGAGGAGAAGAAGGTGGGAAATGGGCACACAGATGGCCTCAGTGGAGTCTGTAATACTTAATTCCTTAAAAACAAAAGGATCTGAAGCAAATATGGTGTAATGTTAAGATCTGACAAAGCCTTACAGGGTATGTTAACTAAGTTGAATTTATTTTTTTTTAAAGATTTTTTATTTATTTGAGAGAGAGAGAGAGATAGCACAAGCGGGGTGAGGGGCAGAGGAAGAAGCAGGCTCTCTGCTGAGCAGGGAGCCCAATGCAGGGCTCAATCCCATCATGACCTGAGCCGAAGGCAGACGCTTAATCGACTGAGCCACCCAGGCACCCCTAAGTTGAATTTAAATTAAAAAATCTGTCAAAAGATTTGATAAAACCAGATATTAATATATAAACATTCTTTATATTATTTGCTATTCTTGCCTATTTGAAATACATAATTTTTTAAATAATGAATATGGGACTAAATGAGCATGCACCCTTGTCCTTACTTAATTCCTTGTCCTGCCTCTTGGCAGGGTACAGATCAGGAGAATTGTGTTTACTGAGCACCCCTACATGCCAGGCACCATGCTCAGTATTTTCCATACTTTGAAATAGGAATTAACTGACATGTTAGGCAGGACTTTATTCTTTTCTAAGGATCTCTCTGAAGGCTTCACATTAGTACCAGATTCCATTCAGTAAGACATGTCATTTGATTTCATTCTAGCATCAAACTTGTAGCTTTCTTGCTACAACTTAAACCTATTTCCTCAATGTTCAAAGCAAGCCAAAGCCTTTTCTGAATGCTCATTGAGAATGTAAATTTGAAGTACTCCTTCCCAAGCTTACCTGAGCTCCCTAAGATGCACATGATCTGCCCACTCTCGATGTACAAGGAGACATCTTTGAGGATCTGCCTGTCCCACCGCTGCCGGCAAGATGTGAAGTCCCACCAGGGCCCAACTTGGTGGCTTTAAAGGAAAGGGAGTTTGGTGTTCCAGAAGGGACCAGACCCTTGTCCCCCAGCACTGATCCCAGTTGTCTCTGGACAGGTTTCTAAATATGCTTGAGGCTCAGTGTCCTTCTCTGTAGACACTGGCAGGTAGTGACCGAGAAAGATCATCTCTGTAAAGCCCCTGCCCAGGAGCTGCTCTGAATGCCAGCCCTCTTTGGCTGTGTGGGAGATAAACAGGACACAGTTTATTCCTTCAGTTGACCATGCATTCCTTCACCAGGCTTCATTACACTTTGTGTTGCCCCAAGCCCTCTCCATCCCCATGGTGCAGGCTGTACACAAGGGGGACACAACAGGAAGGGATTAAGGGGCACAAAGCCACACAGTCACCTCACTATCATAGCTTCCAGGTCTTCCCATGGGCAAAAGGGGGGCCATTCGCCACTGCTCCTCATCTACCACTGGCAGCCCTTCCCCTCTCCTCTCTCCACCTTGATCCACTGAGGAGGGAGCCCAAAGCCTCCACACATGGCCCTCATTAGCGAGGAAAGCCGGCAAAGACCCACTCACCTCGGATCATGACCATAACTCAAACAAAGCCCAGCTCCAAGTCCCCAGTAGGCAAAAAAGGCATGGCCTTACCTGATACTGTAGGAGACATGGAGAATGCCCAGGCTGTGTCGAGGCTTTGAAGCAGCTGCAGGAACCTCCTCTGGGGAGCTCCGGGGGCATCTGTTTACTTGGATCCCCAAGGACCCCATAGGGATCAAAGATGGGAATTCACTCATGGCCAAGAGACAGCAGACACAGGCGAATTTTGGGGTGCTGGACTCTCCCCGGAGGGGCCTCAGTAGAGGAGCCAGCAGCACACTCCCCCGCGGGCTTCCTACCAGGCCCTGCAGTCCCTCCACAGACCTTCCCAGCAGTGGGACTGGGGTTTGGCCACAGATGCCATTATCTGATGTACCTTTACCCAGAGCGTGTGTGCTAACTTGGCAGTGGGCAGAACACACAGCCTGTGTTTATAGGAGGGCTTGCCTGGGAGGAGTGCCAGGAGAGAGGGGCAGTGAACCCGGGTCAGAGACTGCCCAGCTCTGAGAAAGACAAAACACTGGTGCTGTCGGGTAGCAGCTAAGGTGGAAAGGAAGTTGCAGCAAAGCGGCACAGACACCGCTGGGCCCCATGGCTGAGGCGGCCTCAAAGGAGAGAGGACTGTGGAACGGGGCTGCTCCCCAGGATGCCTCTGTGAGTGATGGGCAGTCACCTCAGTCATGGGGGGTGGGAGTGAATGGGACCTTTCTTTCCTCCCTCAGGAACTTTAACTCATGGCCAGGACCACAGAGGGAGAACATGGCAGCAGGACTCTATTTCCTGGGCATCAAAGGGCTGAGGGGAAGGGATTCAGGGGACGGGGGCGGGTAGGGGGCCTGTGAGGTCACTTCCTGCACGAAGGCACACTCCTATAGGGAAATGACGTTCCTGTCTGTGACCTGGGCTGATGTAGCTTTTTCTGAAGGAGACTGCAAAGCAGAAATTTGTTCACATACACTGGGGACTCTGCAGTGCCTCCTTCATCTGTGTGTCTGTCAAGCTCAGAGTCTCAGACACAGTAAACCAATGAAATAGGACGGCAGGCGACTTTTATGGGAACATCAGAATTTATGTGCAAAACATGGCTACAGCAGGCAGACATAAGACCCTGGAGAGAGCTGGAAGGTGCAGACAGCAGCCAGGGGGTTGAGAGGTTGGGGCACAAGTTCTCCACCCTTATCTTACATGAGAAATGCTTACCCGAGAAATGGCCTTTGGCTAAAGTCAGGGTGTGGGTGGGATTTGAAGCAGGAAGCTAAACTGGAAGACAGAAAGGAAGCAGAGCCCACCCTCTATCCCCACCTCACCCCAGCGCACCTTGTTGTCTTTGCCTGCTGTGGAGAAGAGGGACAGAAAATACAAGAAGGTTTGAGGACTCTGCACCCAAAAGGGAAGGCCACAGGCCACCTAGTCTGGCCCTGAGTTGCTAGGATGTGACTACAGCCCGGCCAATTCCTAGTCCACTCTGTAGCCATGACAAATAGCCATTTCTGATGTGGGAATACAGCCAGTCCTTGCCAAGAAATGACTCCTAGGAGCTGTGACTGCAGCGCTCATAGCCTGAATAGGATATAAAGCTAGCAGTGGCTATGGGGACACCTTCTGCCTTAAAAGGACTGACAATTCAGCCACCACAGCAAGGGATACAAATAACTGCCCAAACCCAACATCCAGGAATGCCTACCATTTCCAATTTCCATTTCTCCAATACCGTTACTCAAGGTTCCAAGTGACAATCTTCCCCCAACATTTAAGGCATCTGGAACAAGAGAATGAGGGCTACATATCTTGTCTAGATGTTTTAAAATTATCAATCAAGCTAAGAACTTTAAAATAGTTTTTATCTTCTTATCTTGATATACCTTCTGCACAACCTGAAAGGCCAGGTGTAAATTTAGAAATTCTAGGATCTTTTGGAGCAGCAGCAAGAACGTGGTGGCACAGGGGAGCCAGCTTCCAGCCGAAGCTACAGCCTGTCCCCCTTCTCTGCCCAACCCTAGCCCCACACGTGACTCACACACCCCTATGTGGTCATGCCATCCTGCCTACCCACATTCCATTCACACTCCACAGACAAATGCCCCTCTGGCTTGGGGCACCTGGCGTGGCAAGTGCCCTTGGCCCACAGACTCCTCAGTCCATGGGCAGAAGCATAGCCAGAGGAGGACAAAAGGGGTCCAGTCCTCAGGGCAAAGATGTGAGAGATCTGGTCTGACCATTTTAGTAAAGGCCCAGGCTCATCCTCTCAGCCAGGAACAAACCCTGCATGTTTCTGCCAGGCACTGAGTCCTCAGTGCATCACAACTCAAGGGCAAGGATTCCTCATTTTAGAATAAGGAACTTGGGCTCTGTGCTCCCTGAGTTCCCTTCTAATCTATGCTTCTGACTCAGGAATTTGATCAGAAGTTAATACAAGGAGAAATTACAATGTAGCCCAGCAGGAGCCAAGCAGGTTACCTACAAATAAACCTGCTTTTGCTTTTTTCAGTGTCACCTGTCAGAAATTCAAGTGATGTTCTGACAGTCGTACTGATTAAGATGTCAGCTGAATAGATATTTAAGTATTTGAAAAATATAGAGAATTTGTCAAAACCTCAGGAAGAGTCTAACAAATCCTTCCTGGGAGCCAAGGAAATATTTCAAAATGGAACAGAGGCCATCCCCAACCCAGCAATGAATTCTCTTCCTCTGAAAGTCGCCCTGCCTGTGCAGCTCCAGAAAGGTAGTCCCTAGATGGCAAATGAGGTCCCTGGCTGGCCTGTGCCTGACTACTTAGCCTGGGGGGAGGGTACTGCCCAACCCCCCGGGGAGCAGGGAGCGCCTCTCCACTTTTATCTGTCTCCCCATTTTGACACCTCTTTCCCCAGGGCCCCAGCACTCTCCACCTTTTCAAAGCACTTATCTGGAAAGTGGAATCCACTTGGGCATGAGGTCACCTGCACATAATACTCCAGACCCCAAAATGTCTGACCTCCTTTCCTAAGCCACCCCTCCACCTGAAATCTAACCTGGGTAGCTTTTGGCCAGGTCTTTGTTCACAGAAACAATTTCTGAGCTAACTCATATCTTCTACCAATCGACTTAGTATCCACCCTACAGACATTTACTTTTTTATAAACAAACACACAGGATGCATGTTAGCCCAAATGAGTCTCTCAATAATTGCTAGAATTTCTGATATTTTAACAGAATTAAATGGAAAAACTAGGCAGTGTGAGAGCTGGTGGTGGAAGTGGTAAGGTCAGGTGCAGAGCTGACGTGCCTGGAATACAGCACCTTTCTTAGCTGCCCTGGATCTCCCCCAGGAGAGAGCTCCTTCTCCACCTCTGAGGGCACAGGCCCTGGGCCCTGCTCCATCTCCATGGCCAGCTCCTGCCTTGGAGGCATTGGCAACTGAGGCACAAGGTAGGAGAAGTATTCTGGAGTTGTACTCGTGGGCTCCCTCTCTCACTTGGAAAACATATTTTGAATTATTTCAGACAGATCAGTTTAGTAGCGAACTCTCATGTACACACCATTAATTACCAAGAGCTCTGAAGCTCGATCCACCTCGCCTTCCCCTGTAACCTTCTCTCTTGTGTTCCTCTCTGTTCCCCAGAGATTGCCCTGCTGCTAAATGAGGTGTTCATCTTTCCCAGGTTTTTCTGTATAATTTAGGATCTTTATGGTAACAGTTCTAACATCAGACAAGATAAGTAGCTACGGTCTGCTGTTTTCCATACTGCCCTGGAACTCTGGGGACTACTTACAGCTGCTGCTGCACACTGTTACCTGTATTGATTTCCCTCCTCTCCCATGGGGCTGGAACATCCTGTCTGAGGACCTCAGACCTCCACCACTACAGGGAAGTTTGACAGAGACTTCTGGATATTATTTTCACATGAGTCATAAGTCATTTTGTTTTCACACAAAGCACAGGTAGGCACAGTGTACACAGTGTAAATATACCCTAAATGGATGCTTGAGGTCAGCCTGCCTCTACACCTGGCCTGTCATGCTCCATCCTAACCACCTATGCCATTCATTAAGACCTACGCTTCTTTGCATGGTGACAGAGGGTAACTGGATGTATTGTAGTGACCACTTTGCAGTGTACACAAATATTGAATCGTGTTGTATACCTGAACTAATATGATGTTATGTACCAATTTTACCTCAATAAAAAAATCTAAGCTGCTCAGAAACCACCTTTGTCACATCCCAGACTCCAAGCCTGAAGCGTGACGTGCGCTCCAAGTACTGGATGCTTGCTTGATTGACTGAAGGAACACATCAGTGTGAGAAGAGTAGCTCTGGGGGAAAAGATCCGAGTCAACTGGAACTTATTAATAAATACACTTTTTCCTGCACTAAAAAATAAAAGAAAAATGTATTTAAAAATGGAAATCTTACTAGGCAGGTTCTTCTTTTTTGGGACCTCAATGATTTAAAGGATTGAACTGATAAAATAGAAGGAATTCGGATCTGCTGATGGCTAATACCAAAGGTATCAGTTGATACCATGAAACACTGATTTATTTGATGTGCAAATATAGCATCACTCCAACAACAGCAAGATGATGAGGAGGAGGACTATGACAATGAGAGGGACTTCCTGTGAAATCTCCTAAAAGCATTTTGAATGGCTTTGTTGTGCAAAACTCATTAGAATAAGATGCAACTTTTCCAAGGATGGTGTCTTCCAAATATTGAGCATTAGCTTTTTGATAGTTATTTCCTCTCACATGCCAGGTACCTGGAGTCTCTTTGGCATTAGAAGATAGTAAGCCAGAGGCAGGGAAGAGAAAAGTTAAGGCCAACCCCCAGCTCGGGTGTCCCCAGAGCACAGAAGCTCACAAAGCTCTCTCCAGTACAGAGTCTGGGTCTTGTCCACCATAGGCTGCCTGGGTCCAGGCTCCACCAATCTGAGATTGAGTTTTCTGGAGCCAGGAGCTGTGCTGGAGGGAAGCCCCAAAGCTCGCTCTGCAGGGAAGGAAAGATTTGCCCTCATGAATGCTCGTATTTTCTCAGAGCCCTTGGGCTCCACCTACCCAAACCCATGTCTTCCCAATTCTGGATCTCAACCACACTAGCTGCTGCTCTCACCTCTTGGGTCTCCTCCCTGTTTTCTCTTAAGTGTTCAGCAGCTTTTGAAGGAGCCCCTCACCTGTCATGTTTGCCAGCAGGGCCTCCAGGACAGCTTGTTCTCCGAAAGTGACAACAGCCTGTACTTCACCTACAGCGGCCAGTCCAACACCTTGGAGGTCCGAGATCTCAGCTACCAGGTAGAAGCACACCTGAGGACAAGGTGGGAGGAGTGGGCAGGGAAGGCCAAATGATTCCCCAAGTGGAAGGTAAGGGTGAGCCCCTGCTGGCCACGTTGATGCCTCACATGCCAAGTGAATGTACAGAAGTGCCCTCACCTACACATGCCACGGCTGGAGGGTGACAGGCATAAGAGGACGAGACCTTTGTAAAACACAAATTACGTGAACCTGTCGGGGGGGGGATCAAACTTTTTTTAGCTTCAGATTTTGAAATAATTTTAGACTTCTGGGAAAGTTGTAAAAATAGTAGAGTTTCCATATACCCTTTGTCCAAATTCCCCTAATGTTAACATCTTTCATACCCAGAGTAAAACAATCAAAACTAAGAAATTAACAATCCTATGACACCATTCTATAGATTTCTTTCAAGTTTCACTAGTTTTGTGTTTTGTTGTTATTTGTTTGCAAAATATGCTGTCCCTGGAACTAATAAGGCATCCAGAATGCAAGGACTGCGGGCCTTTCAGAGGCTTTCAGGGAACCTCTGGTCAGATTCAAGACTTCCATTTCCCAGACCCACCTGGGGGCAGACCCCAGGCGGTCCAGATGGAACATGCTGGGGGCTGCAATGCTGAACCTCAGAGGCCCAACCCTGGCTTCCTGTAAATATGAGTTAGGACAAGCTAATGAGGCATGCCATAATCTTTCTCTGCTCTGCCACTTGTTAGCTGTATGACCTTAAAGGAGATTTACACAATGCCTTATACACAGTAAACATTTAATAAATCATTAGTCAATTACTATCTTTAAGTGAAGACATCATTTTGCTTTATGTTGTATTTTCCTTTCTGGTCTGCTATTGTACATGCTTCCCATGTCTTAACTTCAGACTTAGAAATGGTAGCTTCAGGTTCTCAGCACAGGGTCTCAACGTGGGCTCCACTCCTATGTTTGCTAGAACCTAGGGGTGGGCCCCTCAACCTGTTTGTATCAGCAGGAGGATATCTCCTATACAGAACTGAACAGAAGTTGCTGAAACCCTCTGACCACTCAGCTCTGAGGAACCTTCCAATGTTTCCCCACAGGTGGACATGGACTCCCAGGTGCCCTGGTTTAAGAAGCTGGCTCAGTTCAAGATGCCCTGGACATCTCACAAGGCTTCTTGTGAGCTGGGCATCCAAAACCTGAGCTTCAAAGTGAGGAGTGGGCAGATGCTGGCCATCATAGGGAGCTCAGGTACCTAAGGGCAAATAGTGAGGCGATGGGTTCTGTCTCTCCTGGAAAGAAGACTGGTCCCTCAGACAGGATGCTTCTCACAGAAACATGAGTAGAACAGCATAGCAGAGTGGGTGAGAGTACAGGTTCTGGGTCAGGCAGACCTGGGTTCAAATCCCAGCTCCTCCAGGGCGCCTGGGTGGCTTGGTCGGTTGGGTGTCTGCCTTCGGCTCAGGTCATGATCCCAGAGTTCCAGGATCGAGCCCGGCACTGGGCTCCCTGCTCAGCGGGGAGTCTGCTTCTCCCTCTGCCCCTCACCCTTCTCGTGTTCTCTCTCTCTCACTCCGTCTCTCAAATAAGTAAAATTATTTAAAAAAAAAAAAATCCCAGTTCCTCCATTAACTAATTCTCAGGCAGTCGCCATCATTACGAATCACGAGTGTGTCTCGAAGCTGCAGCCAGGGCTTGGTCCTTAGTTAACACCTATATTGAGACGAAGCAACAACCTTTCCAAGATCATCAGGCAGCTTCAGAATTCAATGTTCTTCTCGGGGACTTCTTCACCACTAGGGACATTCACTCATTGTTGCCTCACGACCAGGTAGGCACAGCCCCTGCTGCAACTCCCACTTCTCAGAGAGCCCCTCCAGTTCTTAGTGCAGACTTCAACCATCTGCAAAGATCCAGGTTCTTGGAGTGCCTCACAGTTACTTCCACAAGCCAAACTTAAAATTACACAATGCCAGAGGTGAATGGGGCCTTGGAGAACAAAGTTCACTCTCTCCAATGTATTCTTTCTTTTTCCTTGCCAGTTTGGAAGCCTCTTTAAAGGAGGGTTTTCAAATTACCGGTATTTTAAGTTATCAATCAGAGTGTCCTCCTGCCTCCCCTCAACACATGCACACCTTCATTCGACAAATGGGGAGACTAAAGTCTAGACAAAGTGAGTGATTCACCTGAAGATACCTTAATGCAGAGTTGGAACTAGAACTTTGGTCCTCTAATTCTCAGATCAAGGCGTTTCTCTCACATGGTATGAGAACATGTTATACCTTTTAATCATTTCCAGAAGTAAAGATTACTGTACTTTTGAACAACTCCAAATTTTTAGTCTTCTGATAGGGAAATTCTATTTATTGTCTAACCAAAGATCAAATTAGATAATGTGTGTCAATGCACTTTGTAACTTAAATAACACCCACAGGTCAAGTCCTGCCCACTTTTGACCCTGCCTCTGCAATTCTGATCTAAACACTTCACAGGCCAATTTTATTTTTGTAAATCCTGGTGGCTTTTCTTGTTGTATCTGCTTTTTCTTCATGAACTGAGAAACTGGGGGATATGTGGGCCCTGTGGAGGCACTTCCACAAAGCCTCAGAAGCATCACAATTAATACTCGCTACACTTGCTCCTATAGCTGTTAGCATCCTTGAGGAAAGTGAAGTTCGGAAATTGAGTAGTCTCCAGGACTTTTGACTCTAGGTTCAATGTTGTTTAGCTTCAGTTTTACTTAACTAAAATTATTTAAATGATTTCTTTTTAAGATTTATTTATTCATTTGAGAGACAGGGTGCAAGGAAGGGCGGGGGGATCCTCAAGCTGACTCCCCACTGAGTGCGGAGCCTGCTGCCAGGGGGCTCAATCCCAGGACCCTGAGATCATTACCTGAGCCAAAATCAAGAGTCAGCTGCTTAACCGACTGAGCCACCCAGGTGCCCCTAAATGATTTCTTAGAAAGATTTATCAATTACACATACTGTGACTCTTACTCCACTTAAGAAAGAATGAAACAAAAATGAATGAATGCTCAGCATAATTTATAAAATATAAATTAAAACAGCCCCAGACACTTTGGCTGCTTCTGTAGAATCAGCAGTAGCGACAAAGGTGTTTTCCAATGAATGAATTTACTTAATTGGAGACGCCTGCCATTTTATAAGGCTCTTGAATGCCTTTGGTGTTTTCTCCTGGTCTACAGAAGTTCTCCCAGGTGCACTAAGCATTCTCCACTGGAAAGGCCACCCCTACCTCTCATAAAGTGTTTAGGAAATGTGGCCTCCGCACTCCCGTATTGGGAATCCCATTGTACCTATGAATGTTGACAAAGTCCCCGGCTATCTCAGAGCCTGGATCTGATGTCTGAGGCTGGGTAGGGAGCAGGACCAGAGCCCTCCCCTCTAGTTTCTCTCCTGGCTATTTTGCTCCACTTAAGTTTGCAGGGACCTTGAATGAGGTGTACCTGGGAGGTAGCATGCAGGTCCCTTCCTACTGTGAGAGCCTCTGGTCAGTAAGCAGAAGAATTATTGGGGAGACTTCTTTTGTTTTTTGCACTGGAGGCATGGGGCTTCTTTCAGGAAGCACGTATGTATGGCAAGGAGGGGTGGTTATATTTGTGTATTGGCCCTTTCCTTGTTTGAAAACAGTTGCAAATTGTGCTTCCTGAAAGAAATTGATAGTAAAGAAACCAAACGCTCACTTGGGGGGAATGGGACAGAGCCTCATCCCTACCTGTTTGCAAAGTGTTCTCACAGCTGCAGCCCAAATGGCATTCACAGCTTAAATGGCTGTCAAAGAGTCTCATCAAATGCTTCTGGAAACCTGATCCAATCTGACACTTCCCCAAATCAATAGCAATCGCTGTCACTCAGAGGTGGATGGTGTTAACTTAGGGCAATAGATCACTTTTTCTAGAGAGTAAGAAGTACCACTGATAAAAATAGGAAAAGACAGATATACAGAAATACACGTGTATACTATGGTTTAGTTTTAAAATCATGTCCACATCTATTATTCCTCTATTTTTTCTCCTTATTTCTGAAAAGAAGTTCCCAGTTTGCATTTTTAAAAAACACTCTATTTGTGAGATCAAGCCCCATGTTGGGCTCTTCTCTCAGCTGGGAGTCTGCTTGAGCTTCTCTCTCTCCCCCTCTGCCCTTCCCCCCACTCATTCTCTCCCTCTAAAATAAATAAGTAAATCTTTTAAAAAACACCCTTTTAATTCTCCAAAATTAGTCCTTCCCACAAAGCCAGCTGCTGAGCCAAATGCTGCTGACACATTTACCACCCAAAAATGGTTAAGCTTCATGGTGCAATTAACACCAGCCTTACCTGGGAGAAAAAGGAACTTATTAGAGGTAGAAAGGGGCATTTGCTTCGGGGTACAGCCAGCGCCAGGACTCCAGCCCTCTCCTGCCATGCAGCCCCTGGCTAACTGGCTTAAACCCCCAGCGTCAACGTGCCTCCAACACCCCAACGGTGCTCAAATTGGCTGTGGGTGAAAGGCCTGGAGCTCTAGGTGCTGGGACTGCCCCATCCGGTCCAAAAGCTGTGCCACTTTCCCTAGGAGCTGGTTCAGAGTGGCTGGATAATGTGTGGGCTGCCGTGGCTTCCAGGCCGACCTCCGCAGCTCTGCTCTCAGGATGTGTTTGGTGGCTTCACAGGCTGTGGGAGAGCCTCTTTACTGGACGTGATCACCGGGAGGGACCATGGCGGCAAAATTAAGTCAGGCCAAATCTGGATCAACGGGCAGCCCAGCACGCCTCAGCTGGTGAGGAAGTATGTGGCCCACGTGCGCCAGCACGACCAGCTGCTCCCCAACCTAACTGTCCGCGAGACCCTGGCTTTTGTTGCCCAGCTACGCCTGCCCAGAACCTTCTCCCAGGCTCAGCGTGACGAAAGGGTAACTACCTGACCCTGGTGACCCAAAGAAGTCATGACATCCTTCCCCAGGTTGAGTTTGAGCAGCCCAGCTCACCATCCTTCCAACCCTACGTTCAGCCTTGCCCTCAGTCCACCTTTAAACCCTGCAACCCTCGGTAAGCCGCCCGGGCCCTGGCCAGTTCCCTTCACGGCACGGAACAAAATGTGTGAAGAGTGTCTGTCTACCTGTTTTCCCGTCCTCCGTGTGGGCAGGGAGTCCAGCTGTCTTCGTCCCCAGGTCGCGGCCACGTTTCCAACATGGCGCCATGCCCTGCGCGTGGGAGCCGCTCAGGACGTGCGGAAAGAGCGCGGGAACAAACACCGCATGGGGCAGTGAAGGCTGGAGCGCAAACCCATTCGCAGGGGCAGGCGCTCTACACTCCGGGACAACCCCGACTTGGCCCCGAGCCAGGCAGGCGGGCGGCCACGCGTCTAAACCCCCGCCCTCCTCCGCAGGTGGACGACGTGATCGCCGAGCTGCGCCTGCGCCAGTGCGCCAACACGCGCGTGGGCAACGCGTACGTGCGGGGCGTGTCAGGGGGCGAGCGGCGCAGAGTCAGCATCGGGGTGCAGCTCCTGTGGAACCCAGGTGAGGGCACGAGGTGGGGCCGCGGCGCCCACCTGGCTGGGCCCTGGCCCGCCAGAGTCCTGACGGCTCACCAGGCCTCTCTCTCCGCTGGGAAGGAATCCTCGTTCTGGATGAGCCCACCTCTGGGCTCGACAGCTTCACGGCCCACAACGTGGTGAAAACCCTGTCCCGGCTGGCCAAAGGCAACCGGTTGGTGCTTGTCTCCCTGCACCAGCCTCGGTCGGACATCTTCAGGCTGTTTGATTTGGTCCTCCTGTTGACGTCCGGCAGCACCATCTACTTGGGGGCAGCCCAGTACATGGTGCAGTACTTCACAGCCATCGGCCACCCCTGTCCTCGCTACAGCAACCCTGCCGACTTCTATGGTGAGCTGCCAGGCAGCGCCCCCACCCACCAAGCCCCGCCAGAGCCTGGTGGAGAGATCTGGAAGGGAAACTCAGAGGCTTCAGGGGAGCAGGACCTGGGAGGGGGGCGGGCAGAGCGGGCTGCAGAACAAGTGTCCCTTTGCCAAGTATCAAATGTCAGAAACGAGGGTCTGAATAAAGCAGCTTCTGACGTAGCTTCCCTCCTGTGCAGGATAGGTAAGAAGCCTTTGAGAATTACAATGGCTAGAGGAGAGAGAATCCAAGAGGGTTTGGATCAGTTTCTAGAATTGTGGTCTTTTTTCAAACTCTGTAGGGAAACTTAGGTTACCTAAGGTCAGGAGGCCACCAGGAAATCTTAAAGCTGTGCCCTGATGCCCCCAAAGAGGCAGAGAACCTGAAGGCACTCGGTGGTAGAGGGGGCCCCAGGGCACAGGGAGCTCAGGGCCATTTGGAGGTTTTGGTCAGTGAATCTCTAGATAGGAAAACTGTTCTGTCAGCACCAGAGAGGCCTATCTGCTTGGGGTTCTGAGCTCTCAGCACATAGCCCTCAGGGGAAGGGTAAGCCAATTCCTTCATTCCTCAGGAGACAGTTGTCTTTACAGGTGCCTGACCTGAAAGCAGATGCCTGGATCCTGAATGCTGAGGAGTGCCGTGGCAGCTGGCCAGGCTGCAGCTCCTCCCGAGTGGGGGGGGGGGGGGGGGGGGGGGTGGCGTAGCTGTGGTTTGTCTAATATGTCACCTGGAGCCCCAGCCTTCCTCCCAAGATGGCCCAGTGTAGCAAGGGCATCACCAATAACCACGATGACAGGGACCATGTCCTTAAGGGCAGACACTGGGCCCAAAAGCATCAAGCTCCAGAGGGTGTGCCTTGGACCCTCACAGACCTGCCAGGGTCATCTCCATCTTTACAGATAAGAAGACCAAAGCCTGAAGAGTTAAACCCCTTGCACAGAACTTGTAAGGCACAGAATGGGGACTCGCAGCCATGTGTCTGGCCCCCTCCCTGACTCCTGACCCTGAGCCCACATCCTCCTCCCAGGATCCAACGTCCCTCCTTCCCTAAGGAGGACAGGCCACTCTCTCCAGCCTACCAGCCCTTGTGCACTCACAATGTTTGAACTCACATAAAGGGCACCTGTCAAACTGGCCATGGGGAGCAATGTGCAGTAACCCCAGAGGGGGGTTACCAGAAGCCAGATGTCCACAACAGACCTGAAAAAAAACCTTTTCCTTTATATTGTTATCATTTGGGTGGGAAAGGGGCTCTTGCCTACCACCTACCAATCTGGGGTACAGGGCCTGGCAGTACCCAGAGAGTCTGGTGTTCTGACCTACAGGCCTGCACACTAAGGAGACATACTGCGTTTTACAAGACTCCTTCTAGACATTATCCTGCTTTGGGACATGTCATGAAAATGGCAGGAGGGAAGAGACAGAGGTTAAGAGGAGGAATGGTGGGAGGTGAGCCACCCTCCGGCCTGGAGTAAAGCTGGGCTCAGGCGGGCCCTGGTTATGACTGGGTGGGTGTGCCTTTCTGACATTGCAGAAGCCCCATGAGAGTAGAGCTGGGGCTGGGGCTCCCAGATGCTTCCCACAAGTAATGTGGAGGTGGGTGCGGAGCAGCCTGGAAGGCAGTGACAGCTCTACTTATAATTGTCCAGACACGGACGCCCTCCAGCCAAAACATTCTCTCCTTTTAGGCAGGCTGCTTGGGGAGCCAAATTACCTATTTACAGTGAGAACTAGCACTTCCAGGTGCCCAGACTGCCCAACCGCCTCGTGGCCAGCCCACCTTCTCTCCATGGGCAGGCACACCAGGGAGGCTAAGTCCTCATCTCAAGCTTCCTAAATGCCCTTGAGTTGGAGTCAGGGCATAATTGTGCCATGATCTTTGTCTCTTCCTGATGTCCCTATAATGAGCCCGGGGATTGGGATGGGGGCCTCTGGTGTTGCCCTTCCCCTGCAGCAGGCTTTCCCCTGAAGTGGATGTGGCCAGGCCCAGCAGGGTGGGAGGCCAGCCCTGGGTGTCTCTCTGTCTCTGCTCTGCTCATCACTTCGTGGTCCACTCTCAGAGGGTGGGGAGCAACGTCCTGGAGCCCCCAGGGGCTGACCGGCATTGTGAACTGACCTTGCATCAAGCTCCTCACCTGTGAGCAGGTACAGAGACCCAGCCACCCATGGCCCCACATCTTCTCCTTACAGTGGACTTGACTAGCATCGATAGGCGAAGCAGAGAGCAGGAAGTGGCCACCAGAGAGAAGGCTCAGTCCCTTGCGGCCTTGTTTCGAGAAAAAGTTCGTGGCTTCGATGACTTCCTGTGGAGAGCAGAGGCGAGGGAGCTGGGTGAGGGCACTTACCTGGAGAGGTAAGGCAGGCCAGGGTGGCTCTGGGTGGAGAGCTCCTTGCAGAAGGCAGCCACCCCACACCCCATGACACACACTGCTTCTTGGCAGCCCAGCCCTCCCCCAGGACACTGACCAGCCCCCGACTCCCACGGAGCTGCCTGGCCCTGTACAGCAGTTTACCATGCTGATCCGGTAATTATCTGCCATTTCATCCCACTACCACCAACCCTGTCCCACAAGTCTTTATTGTATCAAATTAAGCCCTTTCTATCTAAAGTGAATTTGAAGGGGAAAGAGGTAGAATCATTTTAAAAAAACCAGTATCACCAAGACCAGCACTAGCCCTCTGTGCAATACAGAACACTCCTGTTACTTTTATTCTTTAAACAATATCAAAATGTCCTTACTGGCCGGATGATTGGAGAAATTATGTAGGATTGTGGTGAAAAATTCAGACAATACAGGAGAACCCCAAGTGGAGAGGGAAGGTTACCTGTCACATCAGCCCTCAGAGAAAACCAGACCTACATGTTTGGTGTGAGTCTTTCTAGATATTCCCATGCACACAGCGTTTTAATACATAAATGAGATCATACTTTGCATATGGTTCTATAACCATTTTTTTGTTTGTTTTTGGCCTCATATAGAAAAGGTCTCTACCTCTCATCTGGTTAGGTCTTCTTCGGCATTCCAATCTAAAAAGCCATAATTCATTTCCCTGCTAAGTGCATATTGATGGTTCGATTTTTTTCAGGCTTTTGCTATGACAACATTGCAGCAACCACCCTTGTACATATGTCTTTACATACCTGATTGGTTATTTCCTTAGGATAATGTCTTTAAGTAAAATTACATGGCGGATACGTTGACAATAAAGTAAATTATTTATTGTGTACCTAGTGTGAGACAGATGCTGTCATCAATGATCTCATTTGAGCCTCACAGTCCTTGTGAGAGGGTAGTGCTATTCCCATTTTAAAGATGAGAAAAGAGAGGCTTGCTGAGATTAAATGACATTGCCATGTGACAGGCTGGTATATGTTGTTCCCTTGGCATCTCTTTTGTTTTCTAAGTCGTCAGATTTTCAATGACTTCCGAGACCTGCCAACTCTCCTCATCCATGGAGCAGAGGCCTGCCTGATGTCCCTGGTCATTGGGTTCCTCTATTACGGCCACGGGGCCATCAAGCTCTCCTTCATGGACACAGCCGCCCTCTTGTTCATGATTGGAGCTCTCATCCCTTTCAACGTGATCCTGGATGTCATTGCCAAATGTGAGTGGGGCTTGCTCTCTGTGACCCACACCTGAAACAGCCAGAGGACACGGTGTTGGTCACCCCTCTGAGCTGGTCCAAAACCAGCCTATGTTCCTCTGAACTCCTGGGGAGAATGGGTTTGCTGAGTAGTTTCACCATGATTGCAAAACAAAAGGTGGTGATTGTTTTTAAAGTTCGCACATTAATATTAGTATGCAAATGAAAGCAGATTACCCAGGAGTCTTAGGCATTCCTATTATAGCAGGAATTATACTTGACAGCAATGCACAAGTCACAGAATTACAAACATCTAAATTAGGATGGTTTAACTCTGCCTGCTTTTTAAAAATAGAAGACATTTAGTTAATATGACTATTGATAATTGTACTAAGAGAGACTCAAAAGCAGAAACCCTGAAAATTAATGTCACTTTCATTCTCCTTTTCTCCCCCTTTTTAGGTCACTCAGAGAGGGCAATGCTTTACTATGAACTGGAAGATGGTCTCTACACTGCTGGTCCATATTTCTTTACCAAGGTGACTGGTTAGGGCTGAGAGCAAGTGACCAGGTAGTGGGCAGGGGCAGAGAAAGCTACACTGCGTTGTACAGAAGCTCCAGAGAAGTATTTTGCTGAGCCAGGGGGCCGTGCGTCATCTGGAGTTACAGATGTCACATCTGCAAGGGGAGTTTTAGAGACTTGATATTTTTAAAACATTTACTAGAAGACCAGGACTGTGGACTAGGAATGACACTTTCCTGGTCAGCAGAAACCTTAAAAAAGAACGAGAGAGAGAGAGAGAGAGAGATGGAAGGTAGGGAAGGAGGGAGGGAGGGAGGGAAACATCCAGCATACTTCACCTCTCCGATCTCACGACATCTCCAGGAAGCATGTTGGCTTTTGCTATACTCTTTCCAGGAAACGGAGGCTCAGAGAGTTATGCAGCGGTCTCAAAGCCCCACAGTTATTGGGTCTGGGCAGGCAGGCTGGGGACTTAAACAGAACAGATGCCTCATTGCCATTGTCACCAGGCCGCACGGCCTCCCTGGGGGAAACTGCTCTGAACAGTCCCAGATGCAGCACATGGCGTCCGCAGGAGGAAGCCAGCAGGGAGGTCACGTTCCAGGGCCCCACACCCGCACCCACCAGCCATCCTGCTGCAGCCTGATCATCAGCGGGAGGGAAGGTTGGCATCATAGAGGGTTAATATCTTTAAATATCTAAAGAACAATGACAGTGAAGGCAATTAGCTCCACATCCTTGCAAGGGCTATTCTTGGCAGATCCTAGGGGAGCTTCCGGAGCATTGTGTCTACATCATGATCTACGGGATGCCCACCTACTGGTTGGCCAACCTGCACCCGAGCATCGAGCCCTTTCTGCTGCACTTCCTGCTCGTGTGGCTGGTGGTCTTCTGCTGCAGGATCATGGCCCTGGGTGCTGCCGCCCTGCTCCCCACATTCCACACATCTTCCTTCTTTGGCAATGCTCTCTACAACTCCTTCTACCTCACTGGGGGCTTCATGATGAGCTTGGACAACCTGTGGACAGGTAAGGCCTGCTCCCCTCCCCTGGTCAAGCTTTTTGAGTCATTCTGGGGCTGGATGAAACCTGCTTTCACCTGGGGATGAGAACTCACCATTGAGATCCAAGTTAAGCCTGGTTTTTCTGGGAGCCAACTGTCCTGCTTGTCAAAGGAATGATTCCACGAGAGGGTGCAGATGGCACACCTTCCTCTATCCCCCAGCTGACACCTGGAGGTCACCCTTGACTCTCCCTCACTCTCCACATTCACCAGTGAGTCAGGTCAGTTCTGCCTATCCCATCTTTCTGAAATGTTGCCTTGCCTGATCGATCCCCCAGCCCTGGCCTTATCGTCAGGTCTCAGACCACTGCAATGGTCTCTGTGACCCTGGTCCTACTGCACCCCTCTCGACCCTTGCCCATGCAGAGGGTGCTTTGTAAGGTGCAAATCCATGTCACTGCTTTTTTCAAGCCCTCTGGGGGGCTGCTAACTCCCTGCAGCCCCGACCTTGCTCTTCTGAAGTCCCCAGCACACTCCACGCACACATAGCTGAGCCTGTGTGGCTCTTCTCTGTGGGGAGCAATCCGCCCCCCGCCCCCATGCTCCCTTCTCCAGACCAGCCAGGCTGGGCTTATTCCTTCCTCCTGCTCCGGGTACTGTGATACTCCCGTGGGGTCAGGGCACAGACTCACAAATCTCAGCTGTGCCTCCTTGAAGCTGAGCACATCCTGGGACACCTCGTAAATGACTCTCTCAAATTGTTATCTTTCCAGCATGTGGTGACCCCCACAGCCACCTGGCTGCCTGTACTCCACCCCTGTCCCAAGCTGTCACTCTGGCTCTTTCGCCCTCTCCCTGCTCTCCTGCCGCCTCAGGGACCTTGCTTCCCTTGGGGCAGAGCCGCCAGTGCCCTCTGGTCAGGGGTGCTTCCCAGGGAGCAGGTCGTTAGCCTGTGTGAGTAACATGGCTTTCACTGTCTCCAGTGCCCGCCTGGATTTCCAAAGTCTCCTTTCTCCGCTGGTGTTTTGAAGGGCTGATGCAGATTCAGTTTAAAGGGCACACTTACCACATGGCCGTCGGCAACTTCACCATCCCTATCCCTGGAGACATGGTAAGTAGCTGAGCCCTTCGACTCTAAATAGCTAACATCCATCTGAATGTTTTCTCAGTGAGTTCACTGACGTCTGTGTCCCCAGATCCTCAGTTCCATGGGCCTGAACTCACACCCCCTCTACGCCATCTACTTCATCCTCATTGGCATCGGGGGTGGCTTCATGATCCTCTACTACGTGGCCCTAAGGTTCATCAAACAGAAATCAGATCAAGACTGGTGATTCATGCCCAGGCCCTGGCCTGCTGGTGGGGACTTGAGAAGACCCTTCGGCTGCGCTCCTTTCTTTCCTCCCAAGGAGCCCCTTCCCTGGGCACCAGGAGGACAGCACAGGGAACTCAGCTACACGGGCCCTCAGCACTGCAGTGGCACAGGCTGACCACAGGATGGCAGTAGAATAAAGACAGTAGAAAGGGATTTCTGATCCCGGGCCAGAGCTTGCCGTTCCTGGGCAAGGGAAAACTGAACTTGGGGACACCTACAATGTTGCTAATTGATTTCCTTTTCATATGTATTTATATAGGCAACTCAGTGCAGGATGGGAGCAAGTTAGGTATGAATTGAATAGGCTATGCAAGAACTGGATCCAGAGGAAACAATAACATTGCCTAGCGAAATGTTTGTCCTCATCTTCAGGCCTCCCCAAACTCTGTGTTTCAGTCACTCTCAATACAGAAAATGACCTAAGACATACTAGTGAGATGTCATCCTTTCTTTTTGTGTGGGATCATGGGCTCCAAAAGCCAAACGGAAGAATTAAAAATTTATTGAACATCTACTGTATACCAGGTACAGTTCAAAACGCTTTATTTATGTGGACAACCATATACAATTCTCAATGCTTTGAGGTGGGTGGTATCCCATTTTATAGATGAGGAAACTGAGGTAAAAATTCAGTTTGCTAATAAGGTCACATGACTACTATGTGGTGGAGTCACATGTGGGGATCAGAAAGCTTTGGAAGCCTTAGGGGTTGGAGGGCAAAAGGCAAGTCCTGTACGACTTGGAATTCCAGGAAGGCTCCAGAAGATGATGGTTGTAGAGGCTGTGACCTCTACTGTGACAGCTCAGCCGGGCCTCTTAGACTTGCATCCCACTGGCCCTGGCTGGCTCTGAGGACCAACCTCGAACCTTTCACAGTGGCCAGGGTATGGGATAGATCATGCCCAGGTTTCGTGCTTTGTTGCCTGAGCATTGAGGACCATCTGACCCAAAACTGGTACACAGAGGGGAGCAGATTGTTCCCAAAGGAAATGCCAGAGTCTGGGACCAAAAAAGGAGGAAGGTAAGTATTTGGGAAGCAAACAGTAAACATTCACCCCAGTTTCCCTAGACTGTTACTATCACTGCTCCGGGCAGGCAGCATGGACCTTACCTGGGAGCTGGTTAGACAGGCAGAATCTCACACTCCACCCAGACCAACTGAATCCGAATCTGCATTTTTAAAAGATCCCCAGGTGATTTGTGTACCTGAGTTTGAGAAGCAGTACTCTAGCACACTGCTCTTTTACAGTACACAGGGAAACTCAGGGTCTTTACACTGCTACATTATACCATGGCATATTTTGACATCGTTACATTGCCACCATCCAATGGGCAGGCCCAATTCAAGATTAACTGTTCAGACAAGGACCTTCATAGCAAAAGGATCAAGCAGATCTAGTTGTCAATTCTCTTTGGGATCCTTCAGTTTTGAACAGTTCCTCAACTTTCCTTGACTTTTGTGACCTTGACGCTTGAAGATTCTGCAGAATAGCTCTCACTGTGAATTTGGCATATTTTCATGATGAAATCCAGATCATGAATTTAATGGGATATCACAGGGATATCCTTTGGCAGAGATGTTGCAGAAGTGACATGCCCTTTTCCTTGCATCCTATTGGTGGTGAAGATTGCAGTTTGTCCTGTACTGAAGATGTTCCCTTGATCACAGGGGTGTCTGCCAGGACTCTCCACAGCCAAGTCCCTTGTTTGGTAATTCATAAGCATTTTGTAGGTAGGTGCTTTGAAACTATGTAAGTTACCTGTTGCTCATTAAACTTTCCATTTATCCGTTTTTCAATTTATATCAATATAAAATTGTAGTTTTCTATTTTAGTCAATGGATTTTGATCCGTTAGTATCATTATTAATTTTTATGTTCAAATCATCCGTGATTTGGCCCTGGAAGCCCATTCAAGTGGGCTTCTGCATCCTTTTGATCTATCCCCATCATTGTGCGAACACTTTCTTTCACAAAGTGTTTCAGGCTCATCTTGTACTTTTCCACCCCCAGTCCTTAGACCCAGTGCTTAGAAAGCAGACATTTCTCTAAAAAATCTTGGTTCCTTTTAGTGGAAAATGGTATCTAAAAGCCAAGGTCTGAGTGGTAAGTCTGTCCATTGCTACTGGGACATCACTGCCCCCAGGCCCTCTCAGGAGGCAAAGTTGGGAATGCATACGTGTGCACACAGGTCTGTATATGTTTGTGTGCACACATACGCACACCTACCTGTACACTAATACATCCAGTTCCCAAATTCCCGTACATCATAGAGCTGATGCTAATATTCTCCTTTTCTGTGTTTGTGACTCCCTTTTCCAGTTGCGAGACACCTGGATTCCGCTGGCCTTCATATTTTCATTCATTTGGTTAATGCCCTGTGTGTAACCAATCTCCCATCTCTACCACGTTTTCTGGTGTGTAGATACCCTCCTCGCCCTGCTGGGGCTGCATCTCTCCCATCAAGCTGTCCCCTAGTCTGCACAGATGCCGTCCTCACCCCATTCCTGACCAGCCCGGCTCCTCCCACACCCGCACCGCGGTCACCTAAAGGCTTTAGGCCTAAAGGGAGAAAGGAGGAGGAAGAGGACATGGGCTTTTTCATGAACTCCCCAGTGATTCCAATGTGCAGTGAGGGCGGACAGCCACTGGGGTCTATCATCTCACTGAGTTATGGCCCCTCAGTTTAGAAGGGGCCTTAATGACTCCGTGGGCTCTGGTGTGCAGGGCTGTGGGGGAAAGGGGCAAAGTGCCAAGGCCGGAGAATGGGAGAAACTCCAGCAGCAGCCATTTCTTTTTTTGCTGGAGCATCCTGGTTCTCCACCCTGGTTGCCCACCCTGGAGTTTTAACAACCTCTGTGGACCCACACCCAGAGATTCTGATTTCATGGGTCTGTTTTTTGAAAACAGAAAGAAACAAAGAAACAAAACCAAATGAACAAACAAACTGCTCCCCAGGGTGTGCGGGTGGTCTACTCAGCCCCTCCCTGCCCTGAAAGGGGGAGAGGTCCGCCTGTGAGAAATTTTCAAAAGCAGGGGTCACAAACTCTTCCTGTTAAGGGTCAGATAGTATTTCAGGTTTTGAGGGCCACTCAACTCTGTTGCAGTGTTGAAAGCCACCACAGACAATTCTAAAGTATGGGAGATGTGGTTGTGTCCCAGTGAAACAGAAAAACAGCGCTCTGGATTTGTCCCAAGGCTGTAGGCTTTGCACACCCTTGACCGGAAGGCAAAGGTTTTGAAGTTTGCATTTTATTTTATTTATTTATTTATTTTTTTCTAAAGATTTTATTTATTTATTTGAGAGACAGAGAATGAGAGATAGAGAGCACGAGAGGGAAGAGGGTCAGAGGGAGAAGCAGACTCCCTGCCGAGCAGGGAGCCCGATGTGGGACTCGATCCCGGGACTCCAGGATCATGAACTGAGCCGAAGGCAGTCGCTTAACCAACTGAGCCACCCAGGCGCCCCTGAAGTTTGCATTTTAAGCGCTCCGATTTCTTACGCTATTGACAGGGAAATTTTAATTAAGCAGAAAGTAATTACCTATACTGACTCAAATATTTCTTTTCTTTTTTTTAAAGTAGGCCCCATACCTAGTGTGGAGCCCAACACAGGGCTTGAACTCACAACTCTGAGATCAAGACCTGAGCTGAGACCAAGAGTAGGATGCTTAACTGCCCGAACCACCCAGGCGCCTGACTCAGTATTTCTGATGTGATTTCGTTTTTTCTGCTCTTGTTCCTATAAAAATGATGTAAGGCCTAATCTTGCCCTGGGTCAAGCTCATCTCACCAGTCAGGTTCACAGGGAGAGATCTTGTGCTTGCTGTTTTCTTTCTCCCACTCGACTTGTTTTGATTCCAGATCAAACAGCTAGCAGCAGGGATATTTAAATAGACACCAAATCCAAGTGCTAACCACAGACCTGGGAGATGTAGGGGCTCTACTGAGACTCAAGTACTACTCACTTAGCGGAGGCCCCTTCCCTCAGGCCAGCCCCAGGCGGAGGGCACCCAGCCCATTTTCTGCATGCACATGTGGTTGTTAGCAGCTAACAATTAAAACAGTAGTATTTTAAGCAGTGGGTTGAGATTTTTCACACACACCAACTCAGAGGCCGGGTAACACTTCTCAGCTTTCCATGTCATAGTGCCCATGTTTCTTGTCTTTGTGTAAAGTTGGAGCTACTCCTTGTTTCCCCAAACTGCTAAAAAGCCCAACTGCCCCATGTTAAAAATGAAGCTCTTTTTTTGTTGATCCCACTCTTGTACTGAAGTGGCTTCCATTACACATTTGAAAGCCCTCCTCCTCCTGGCAGTAAACTTGAACATGTTTTCCATGTGGGAAGACGGGTTTTAAAGGACTTCTTGGGCCTCGACTCCCACTATCCTGGCTCTGAGCTACAAAGTGGCATCTTTGATCTCTTAGGAAGACAAGTGTGTGTGTGAGGAAACCCTCCAGTGCATGCAAGGCACACATCTCAGAAAGAGCATGGCTTGGAAAGTGGGACAGGTGCTGTGTTCATTGTTCATTCGACGATGCTTACTGGGTGCCAAGCAGGGCCAGGTTCTGTTCTAACTGGTGTAGAGCTCACTGTCTGGGGTAGGAAACGACATAACAAATAATGAGAGTTTCAGCAAGTGCATGCCTGGGGCAGAGTTGGTGAAGATACTACTTTCAAGAGATCTCTGTAAGCACGGATCCCGACAGCCAGCCATTGTCCAAACAAATGTGCAGGGGCGCTAAATATGAAGTTAAATGTTTTTGCTCTGCCTGAACCGGATGATGTTTCTTCTGATGGTTCTTTTCTTCGTGCAAAAAAGAAAAAGATAAGTGCTTATTTTGAATTTGCAAATGCAGCCATTTCCTTTATTTGTACTAAGGCTGCATAATGTGGGCTTTGTAAAGTCCGCGGGTCTGAAAGCACGATACATTCCTAATGGAAACAGCAAAGTGATAAATTACCATGATTGTGTACCCCCTGCAGCTATTAGCTCGACCATACTTCAGGAATGTTGCTTTCACTTTATAGAAACTATAAATATTGGTTTGTCAGAAAGACAAATATTAAATGAAAATTGTGCTCAGACACATGAGAAAACATATGCAGAATACACACACTGCAGACTAGAGGAATACATTGTACAGGGAAGAACAATTTGCAATATAAAGCTTGCTTAATAATTTACTGGAATTCACAAACTTGGCATTTATGCCAGGCACTGGGTATCTGACTAAATGGAAGAAAATAACCTTACAATGTAAAGCTGTCGGGCCTGGGAACGTTTGTTTTAATGTGAAAGCTTGCTTTCTTAAAAACAGAAATATCCCAACAGTTTAGAGGTTCTAATTTTTCAACTGGATTGTTTTTGGGAAGTCAGAGTCCTAGCCATGTGATAAATCACCGTGATTCTGATCACTGTGGGTAAATTTAACTTCTGTAAGCCCAGATGTTTCTCATCGTGAATGTGACGGAAGAGGGGTGCCCGATGCACAGTAGCAGGTGCTCATGGTTAGCTTCACAGGACACATGGACCTGACAACAGTACATGGGGGGCCTGCGGCCAGGACTGTGCAAGGTCTGGGCTTACAGACGTGACACACAGAACTGGGGCCTGGGGAGTTCACAAGCTGCGTGGTATGTGCTCTTTTAAGTGGCTGCGGGAGCCCTGGAGAGACAATAGGCTAGGTGGGGAGAAGGGCCAAGAAGCCACAGAGAGGAGCCCCCCAAGGTTGGCCACAGCAAGCTCACCCGAGGAAGGAACAGGGGGGGTAAGGCAAGGGGGTAAGTGTGCCCGGGACCACTCTGTGCAGCTGTGGAATGCTCCTTCTGACACTTAATGCAGATAAAACCGCCTTCGCTTTCAGTGTCCATTTACCATATATCCACCTCTACTCATTCTCGCCAACTTTGTACCTCAGGGATCTCAAATATCTGCTTGTCCTTACACCAGAGAAGCCGTGATATTGTTGGTTCTCTACACACAAACTGTACACCATTTAACAAAGAAATTCTGGCCGCAATAGAGGCTACCACACAATTTTTAATTTAAAATTTTAAGACTAAAGTCCTTGAAATGATAAAAGTGATTATGCAAAAATTTGATAAGATTAAAAATGAAGAGGCTCACAGGTTTTGAGTATAATTTATTCAAAGCATTTCACATTAAAATTATATTAAATTCATGAACATACAATTACATGTAAAACATACTTTCCAAAAGTTTACAATGACGTTTACTTTTTTAGTTAGCTGTTTGCTTATTTTAGTCTAAAACGTATTATTGTGTGCTATAATTGTGTTTGCTCTCTATTTCTATTTGTTTCAATTTTGCTATTATTTAGAAAGTATTTCTTAGCCCACATAAAATACACAATTACATTTTTAATATTTAAATTCAAAAGGGGAAGCCAGTAGTGCTGTTTAGAATGCTAGATGAGGGATTTGTACCTATTTCCTCGGCACTACACCTGGCATTTTACCAGCGTCAATATACAAGGCTGGCTTGGAGTCACTTCATGCAATTAAGATTGTACTCTCAGTCTCTGGCCCAGACAAAACTGGGAAGTCCAGGGTATGTCCCAAGGTTATGCCTCTTCTGAGAGACCTATTTCAATGAACATCAATAAAGCATTGCTCCAATAACTTAGGGTTAGCATACTGCAAAAATTAGGGCCTGCTTCAGTGGAATCACTAACAGGCGTGAGGCTCGTGGCCAACCAGACAATGCAGGGACATACACAATAGCTCCAGGGCCTGCCCCTGGGGAGCAAACAAAGGAGAGCTTCATTAAGTCCTCTAGGCTGGGACTTGGCATTGGCCAAGGCCTCTGAACCCTTAGGTCTACCTCCACAAAACCGAGATGAAGGAAAGCACAGCCAATCCCGTGATGACGTTTACTTCTTGGCTTCCCTCCATCAACGCACCCCTCCCTTTCATGTCATCTGCAGGCTCTAGATGAAGGATGGCTGGGTCCACAACTCAGGTCGGCAGCACAACCAGCTTGAGGCCAGCTTACTTCCTACAAGGCAAGGTCTCCCCTCATGTAAATAGTGGGAACCACTGATTTCAAATGGATAAGGATAAACCTCAAATAAAGCATTTTCAACATTTTGGGTAATTAATTACCTAATCCCCAAATAGTCACTGTTACATATTAAGACACTTTTGTAATGGTAAAGTGTTTCACAACCCAGCCTGAATTCTTCTATAGTAACAACGGATAATATAGATATTAATAGGCATGAAAGCCAATTTGGGGATAACTTTGATAAAACAATACAAACCACAATTTCCTTCATATATAAAATCACACATTCAAAGGATGAGTATGAAGTAACAAAAGCCTAGTGCAGGGTGTACTTGTGCTGGCAAACCTGAAACCAAGACAAGAGGTAATGCACTGCTCTCTGCTTCCTGATCAAAGTCACAGCCAGGACTCAGTCTTAGAGACGTCTATGAACAGAGCCTCTCAGAAGCCTCCGTGGTAGAAGGGAAAGCATGGCAGGGAGCATCCAGGCATTGGCAAATAGCACCCTGACCGAGGGCAAGGAAAAGGAGTGCTAGATGTGATGACTTACAACATGCCTACCGGTGGCAGCCAATTTACAAAACTGGAAAATAATGCTGGGTTTCACACATGAAGAGAATTCCTATCATAGAATAGTAAAGCCTTAGGAAGCTCACCGAGCACCATTTTGTCTAGCTCCAAAATTTTCAGATACACAGTATTAACAAGCAAGTCTTAAATACAAGGAATAACATTTTTATGAAAATAATGAACAAACCAGAACAGGGGACCTGAAGAGTCACTGGGAGAAGAACCCTGAAAACTTACAGATTCAAACATCAGAAGCCGTGAAAAAAATGCTGTAGAATTTATGTTGTCGGCAAAACCCCAAAAAGTCTAGTAACTAAGTGCACAGTTACTGTCAATAAAGTGTTGAAAATATATACATTATGAATAAAAAAAATACACAAAGTAACTTTTCATTTATTTATTCTGTCCTCTCAGATATATTTAAAAAATAACATTTTAGACATTGAATCACAAATACACACAAAATATAGTGCCTGCTTGCTTCACAAAGGGTTTTCCCTTGATTCCTTTAACTGCTTTGCATAAAATTCGAAGCTTTCCTGTTAAGAAGACAAAGGGAGGGAAGTCACAGGTACAGTCACCCTCGAGAACTCATGGCACAACACTCAAGTCATACAAAACAAAACAAAACCCTCAAAAGGCATAAAGTGCTGCAAACTGATAGCAAAGACTGCTGGGCCCATCGCAAGTGCTGTCCCCTCAAGCCCCAGCACCTTTCTGTTGATGAAGTCAATTAGCTGAAGGGCCGCAAGTCTAGAGTTAAAGCTGCACCAAGAGCCTCCGCTGTGTGTGCGCATGTGCATGTGCGTGCAGGTATTCACACCTGGCTATGGAAGGTTCAAAAAAAACATGGCGTACTGACTGGCAGCTTAATGACACAATAAAAAGAATTTTGCATGTATGATTTCTCTTATTAAAATAGAACAAAACAAAATAAAATTTCCTGGGCAACTGATTAAAAACGGGCAGAGGACCTGAAGAGACATTTTTCCGGAGAAGACATCCAGATGGCAAAGAGACACATGAAAAGATGCTCAACACCACTCATCACCACAGAAATGCAAATCAAAACCACAACGAGGTAGCACCTCATACCTGTCAGAATGGCTAGGATACAAAAGACAAGAAATAACAAGTGCTGGTGAGGATGTGGAGAAAAGGGGACCCCCCCCCTGCACTGTTGGTGGAAATATAAAGTGGTGCAGCCACTGTGCAAACAGTATGGAGTTTCCTCAAGAAACTAAAAAATGGAAATACCATATGATCTAGTAAGTCCACTACTGGATATTCACCAAAAGAAAACAAAAACACCAATTTGAAAAGACATGCACCCCCATGTTCACTGCAGTATTATTTACAGTAGCCAAGACATGGAGACAACTTAAGTGTGCATCAATGGATGAATGGATAAATAAAACGTGATACATACATATATATATATATATATATATATATATATATATATATGATACACATGGAAGATTATTCAGCCATAAAAGAATAAAATCTTGCCATCTGCGACAACATGGATAGACCTGGAGAGCTTTAAGCTAAATGGAGTAAGTCACAAAGAAAAGACAAATACCATATAACCTCACTGGTATGTGGAAAAATACCATACAACCTACTTATGTGGAATCTAAAAAACAAAACAAAAAAACCAAAAAATAAACAAAAAGCCCCAGGCTCATGGTGTACAGAACAGACTGGTGGTTGCCTCCGGTGGGCAAAAGGGATGAAAGGAGTCAAAAGGTACAAATTTCCAGTTATAAAATGAGTAAGTCATAGGGATGGAATGTCCAGCATGGTGACTCTAGTCAATAATACGGTACTGCATATGGGAAAGTAGCTAGGAGAGTGGATCTTGAACGTTCTCATCACAAGAAAAAACTTTGTAACTATGTGTGGTGATGGATGTTAATGGATTTACTGTGGTGATCCTTTTGCCATATACACAAATATGGAATCAGTACGTTGCACACCTGAAGCTATTATAAGGTTATGTCAATTCTACCTAAATTAAAAAAAAACAAAACAAAAAACACAAAAACTTCCTAGATGAAGAAATAAAAACCAACTTGCTTAAAATGCACAAGTAATTCACAGGGAGACAATGAGCTTGGCTATTGAAATACAGGCCATTAAATCCTATTTCAAGTTGAAATGATGAGAGAATTGCCCCAAGGACATTTGATAAATCCATACCTATAGCTGAAGGTCTGAGACTGACTTTGTATTTCAAACCTCAATCCCATGGGGCCATGTTCTCCCACAGCCAAACCTGCAGCCCGACTGCTCAGTTCTGGAAGCCCTCCTCTGAGGCCTCTTCATAGAGATCTAATCCTTATGTAATTAAGTATTCAACTTATTTTTTTTTTTACACATTAATATGAAGCATACATAAATCTGTAGAGGTATCCCCCCCCATTAAGAAATACTCACAGGGGGCTCGGTGAAGGGGACAGGCTCTCCAGCATTCTTCAGCAAAACTGCGTAACGCTTTAGAAACAGATCATTCAATTTTATATTCCTTGCAGTCAGATATTCATATAGCGCTTTAGCAGATACAGCATCCTTGTCTAAGACTGGAAAAAAGATATTAATCACAGATAAAGACAACCTACCTTCCTCTTTTCCCAACAACAGTTAGCCATTCAGGGACTCCTGAATCCCTTTATTCCAAGACAAACGAATACTTAACTACTTTCAGAAAAAACCACATCCAGAGTCTACCAGCTCCCTCACTCCTCCCCACACCTCTCATTCAGCATTATTCAGGATGAAAGAGAAAGAAGATGACAAAAAAAGCTACTAAAGGACCCAGAGAGTTAAAGTGACCGCAAACCAAAGTCCTCAATCATGGAGTAAACACAAACCATTCAACCCTCTTCTGCTTAAAACCACACTTGAAATCAAGCTAATTCAAGGACTGTTGTGGTGAGGGTCATGTAAATTATGTGGAAATCTAGACCTACATCAAGATAGAGATCATCAGCTAAACAACACCAAAAAGACTGGCAATATATTCTACTGTAAACTAAGCAAATAGGAATATATTTGGCTACAGTAAGAAAAAAATATTCTAAATACATTATCTGCATAAAAGAACTATACACATCTACCTAACATTAACAAGTTACACTAATATTTATTTTCACTTAAATGGCTGATGAAGTAGCCTAGGGGCTAAGTTTAGCTGGCTCTCCGGTTGTGGCTGCCGTGTAGAAATTTCACTTCCAGGTTTACTGTTGCGATTACAAGGGCTCTACTATCAATTACTGTTGGTAGTTCAACTCTTTAATTTTGCATTTGATTGTCAACATCTAAGCACCTAACAATCCCCTACCCTCCTGCTGCGGAACCGATCCCAACTCCAGCAGCGCCAGGGCAGATGGAAGAAGTCAATCCAAGGATCACTCCAAGGATCCAAGGATCTCCCAAAAGGGAGCGAGCATGGATGACTCATCAGTTCTCACTGGACTTGACAGATCTTTGCAGTTTGGGTGAAGTCAATTTCCTGTCTATAGGAAAACTGGTCCCGGCAGGCGCCAAAACCTTCTGCTGCCACTATCAAGGGCTGAGCTCAAGCTACCATCTTCCAAGAAGCTACTCAGAAAACTCTTCCATCTTGCCTTTCACTACCTTCCTGGTCTCCCTGTTCCTCCCCGTCCCAATTCCCAAGTGAGCTTACACAGTTTAGTAGCAGTTTTATTCTATTTTGACACTATTTTCTGGTATTTACTTATTACTTAGCATCTCCCAAACCCCCTAATGGAACTTTGGGAAGTTTATGATTATTGCCTCTATTTTGAAATATATCACGGTCCCCTCATAAGGGTGGAAAACAGAGAACCAAGTTACTAATTCTGATTGCAGTTTGTTGTCCAGACAATAATAAAATCAACAAAGCAATTCTTTAAATTCTTGCCTCACGTGAGAAAATCAGTGGGTGGCGGATGGACAGGTGGTCATAACTAGGAAATGAAATGCTTACATTTACCTTGATTACTGAGAAAACTTTAGCCTGGCTCCCTTTCATATGTGATGAGCTGGCAATCAGGGAACAAACTGCTTAAATAAGACTGCAATTTCAACTGTGATTTAAAGTAAAATCTTGGGGCCCACTTTTTAATTAAGGGGACTGTTATTTCAAAAATGTAGGCAGGTGGGGAGGGTACTGAAGGAACAAGAAGGCAAGTCATGTGACAGTCTCAAACATGTACCCATTTCATGTTATGTTTCAGGCGGCCTTGGGGAGACTGGATTGCCTCCCAGGATATATATGCCCAAGTACATATACTTCCAAGTCTTTCCAGGAGCCTGGGGTCCTATTCAACGTAGCTGGGCCCTGATGAAGATGCTCAGTGATACTTTTTTGTGTTAAAGTTATATGAATAAGTACATATTTTTCTTAAATACAGTTTTAAAACATTTTCTAAAGCTAAATCAATTATTTATATCATAGTTACCTAATATTGAGGATTACTGTCTTTGAGCTGAAGACTTAGTTGACTATACTACGAATATCTACATCACTTAAATAACAAAGTCAGATTAAACTTATTACCATAGCTTTTCATGACCGAAGTGTATGCTTCTTCCTTTTCAATTAATTCAGGAATCAATTCTAACAAAGATTTCAGAGTTGATGCCTAGGAAATTAAATATAGGAAATGTTACCACAACTTGAAAGAAGAGTGAAGGGTGCCTGGGTGGCTCAGTTGGTTAAGCGACTGCCTTCGGCTCAGGTCATGATCCTGGAGTCCCGGGATCGAGTCCCACATCGGGCTCCCTGCTTAGCAGGGAGTCTGCTTCTCCCTCTGACCCTCTTCCCTCTCGTGCTCTCTATCTCTCATTCTCTCACTCTCTCAAATAAATAAATAAAAAATAAAATCTTTAAAAAAAAAAAGAAAGAAGAGTGAAGTAAAACACTGATTTATGGACATTATATCAGGAAATCTTCACAACAATTAACAACCGTCTATTGAATTTAATAAACTTTTTTCCCTTGTTTATCTTAGTATTTATTGTCCATTTAATAATTTACAGCCAAAACAAACAAGCTTCTTTCAAAAATTAATGAAATTCCATTCACACTTCTATGAATATTTTTCTAAAATATCACAAAGACTGCTTCTTTTGTCAATTGGTAGCCTTACCAAGAAGTTATGAGATCCCAAAGAGTAGAAATAGGTAGTAACTGTATCTTCAGGTGCCAAGATTTTTAAATAAAATGTGAAGAATTCCATCAAACATTCCAGAAGTTTTCCCTGCTTTGTATATAAAAAGAGGATTTCCAGGGCGCCTGGGTGGCTCAGTTGGTTAAGTGACTGCCTTCGGCTCAGGTCATGATCCTGGGGTCCCGGGATGGAGTCCCACATTGAGCTCCCTGCTCAGCAGGGAGTCTGCTTCTCCCTGTGACCCTCTTCTCTCTCGTGCCATCTCTCATTCTCTCTCTCTCAAATAAATAAATAAATAAATAAAATCTTTAAAAAAAAAAAAGGATTTCCAGATCTCACTGGAATGTTTACTTGATTACTCTCAGAGGTTATCTGGACACACCTATTGGTTTAGTTCCTGTAGTGAATACAGACCTGCCACACCCTAGTGATAACCAAACACATTCCAATACTGCTGGATAAATCAAGGAAGGATTTTATATACCTTTATGCCATGTTCCCATCTCACAAAAGAAAACTATATCTGGCTTACTTATTCTGCCAAACAGCTAGACACTGTAACTGGAATTTTTAAAAATCCTAATTCACTTTTTACACATTTACTCAATCTATATAACTGGACCTGCATCCTGTCAGGACTTCCTACAATTTAAAGTCTCCTGGGAGGAATGTTCTCAGCAGATATATTACTGTACACTTCCTGTCCATCTTCCGAGCAAGGCAGTAGGTTACTTGGCATATGGGCATGGACCCGTGTGTAGAGTGACAAGCGCTTTTTAGACTTCTTACACTTTTTAACCACAAATTTAAAAAAAACAGTCTCTGAAAAGCTGTTTGCAATTAGGTAAATTAAAAAAAAAAAAGACAAAAAAGTGTGTTAGTGTGGGGGAAATTTAGGAGAACTAGACCTCTCAGACTGGAAACCTAAATGTTTCGCATAAAATAAACATTACAATTGGCACTCAGTTTGAAACTTTATATGTGCCCAAATAAACTAAGAAGGGGGTTTGGGGTACTCAATAGGTAAAATGAGATCTACAAAAAATTTTTGGAAAATGTTCTATTCTTTTTTTTTTTAAAGATTTTATTTATTCATAAGCGATAGAGAGAGAGAGAGAGAAAGGCAGAGGGAGAAGCAGGCTCCCCACTGAGCAGGGAGCCAGATGCAGAACTTGATCCCAGCACCTTGGGATCATGACCTGAGCCGAAGGCAGAAGCTTAGCCATCAGAGCCACCCAGGCGCCCTCTTTTTTTTTTTTTTTAACATCAAAAATAGGACTTGGTTCTGGTTTTACACACACACACACACACACACACACGTAGCTTTTAGTGTAAATAAGGTAACTATACAAATAGAGAACATGAACTTGTGGCACATGCCAGTTTTAAAACCAAGTGGCCCATCTACCTGATGGCTTGGACCTGAGAAATGGCCAGAAGTAGCCACCAGCACGGAGAGACACTCTGCAGTGGGACATCTCCCTCCGCAGTGCTTCCCCACCGTTAAATGGACCAAATGACCTAAGCAACAGGATTTTTATCTTCCATTTTTAAGGGCCCTTTCTTTCTTTCTTTCTTTTTTTTTTTTAAAGTAATCTCTACACCCAACGTGGGGCTCGAACTTACAACCCCGAGATCAAGAGTTGCATGTTCCACCCACTGAGCCAGTCAGGCGCCCCTGTAAGGGCCCTTTCTTAGGGCTCTTCCCACACAACTACACGAAGGGGGAATTCACTGTGTGAACTTCTTTTGCATTTCCAGTACAAGAATGGAGCCAGAACTGACTCTATCAACATCTAAAAAAGTAAACAAGTAGAGACAAGCACAATCTTCAGTCTCTATAGTGTTTTTAGGTAAGATACTGAACCAAAGCTCTTAACGTGAAACTCAGCACCCTGAACAAGACTGGCTTCTAGCATCCCTGATCTGTCAGCAAATCAAGCACAGTACCTTTCCTGGTCTCCGAGAGCTCCTGATACAGAACACCAAGAAGGTTGAAGTTTGTTCAGCAATCGCGCCACATCGCTAAAAATCGAAACATCATTCAGTAAATGAAGGTTTTTGATAAACAAGTAGACCAAGGTGAATATTCCCAATTAACAAAGTTCACAATAATACAGTAATGTATCATTACCAACGGGAAGGCCTAATCGTCAACCCATTTTTGTACGGTAAGAAAACAGAAAACCAATGTGAGCTACGCCGAGCTTTCGTGAATATGTCACCCTTGTCACTGCAAGTATAAAGTTTGTTTAAACAGAAAAGGGAAAAATTAAACTAATGCTTCAACAACCGCAGAATAAGGTTTAGGACTGCAAAGAAAGAGGAAAAAAGAAGCACCATTCCTCTCCAATTATTCTGCCAAGCATTCACAAGTGAGCTAGGGATCATAAGGTTAATTATACATTTAATAAGGTGTCAGGGAGATAACTGCTCGTTTCTTTATAAAAATTAAAATGTACAAAGCAAGTTCTCTTTAAAGTATAATTACCTACACTTATGCATACAAAAGGACTGATTTCAATCTCTCTATTTTATAAAAGGCTTTCATTGCAACAGACAGCCAGCGCTTGAGAAAGAGACAAAAGTTAAACTCAAAAAAAAAAAAAAGTTTATATGACAGACCAGATAAATCAAGTGTCTAGCCAATCTTAGATACTACAGTGAAATCAAATATGGCAAGACAATATTTTAGTTTACACTCATTACAGATGTCATTCTTAGGTTTCTCAAAGCACACTGCTCTTTCAAAGCTTTAAAACATTGTCAATACTAAAACGAATAGTATAAAAAGAACTTTTGGGGACACACAGAGAACATTAACATTATAAACTGATGTTTTTGACATCTGTGAATAAAGTATTCTTCGCTGCAGCAAGAATAATCTTTTGCTGTTTGACAGGCAGGTAAAGGATGGGTAAAGGGTTTCTCGTCGGAAGCCTCCGTCTACTGAAGGGATGACAACGAAAAGACCATGGGGGCTGCATCAACACACAGCTGTCACCAGGAGCCCGACAGGCCGCTGTGTGAGTGCGGCTCCGAGAGCCCAGGCAGCACCCTACCGCCTTCCAGCCGAGGCTGTTGTCAGCGTGCACTCTAGTAAGCGCCCGGATGGTGATGGCTCAGGACAAGCTGGGAGATGAAAGAGCAAGTGCCACTTTCTGAAGAACCATCAAAATAGTGTGTTAAAGATGTATAATCAGAGACGCACATCCTCCTGGTAGGTACACTGAGTTATGTACACACCAGGATAAAGCCTTAGAGTTTATTCCTTTCAGATGGAACTTTTAACATTAAAGGCAGCAAGGGAAGACAATGAAAAGCTTCCTGGAATCCCTATCTAAGATAAACTGCCTTTTCTGTTAAAAAAAAAAGGGTGGGTTGGGGTGGGGGGGGGGGGGGGGGGAAAGGAATCAAACCAAACCAGACAAGAACATTCCCAATTAGCTGGAGTTTCTCTCTGTCCAGGAACAGAAAGTAAAAAAGCCGTAGAGGCAAGTGCCAATTTCTACCTTTTACAAAACTGTTCACACAGAGAAATTTCTTAAGAACTCCCTTTAAAAATGGCTTGGGTTCTGTCAAACTAGATGAACCTGAAGGATCCGAACAAGAGCTCCAGCACAGGGGTGCAGTTTCACCTTCCCTATCTACCACTTAACATGTTTCGCAGATCATAAAAACGGAACTGAATATAATACTATTTACTATCAGAAATTGGTCCCGGGCCTCAATTTGACACAGGGAGTCTACACAAACACAGCCGTTGGCGGGATCACAGTGACTGTTTGACTGCCACCTGCTGGGAAGGGCTCCCCAGCGGTGCCTGTTTGTGTACATTGCCAGTGGCAGCTCCGATCACCCACCGTTCTGTCGGCACTTGGCACAGCTTTATATTTAGTGCTGTTAAAATGGCATGAATGCAGTTGTCTCCTTCCCGAAGATTGCTAATTTAACTGAGAGTGTGGGCCACAGAGACCTGCATATGTCATTTAATGTGTCTGTGACACACAAGTGAATAGAAAGCAAATTCAACTCTTAATAAACCTTGAATAAGGCACTGAGAATGTTTGAGTATTCAAGTGAGAAGCTGTACTTGAAAAGCAAACATTTCCTACTTTTTGTTTGCAAACTGTGTTGCCATGGTGATGCACAGTCTTTAGCGCATTAGAGAAATTAAAGTAGGAAATCAAAGGAATGGTTTTGCATTACCTACCTGCACAGAAACATTTGTCTTTAAATCAGTCAGCAAAACACGTCTTCCCTCACTCCCCTTTAAACCTAAGGGCATTTCTAGCCTGGACTGGCATCTTTAAAACCAGTAGCCTCCAACTTACAATCCAGTCTGTGTCACGAGACATTGATCCACACTGAATGTACATGTACTAGCAGCACCATGCTCCATTTCCGGTAGCCTACCCCACACCTAGGTCTGGTAATTTCTCAATTTACTTCTCACAAGCCCCAAGCCCCACTGCTCCAGGTGTGGTGCGTCATTACCTGTAGGAGAGCTCTGGCATCATCCACCTTGCCTGAATCCAGAAGCTGAAGGAAAAGATCAGTGACAGGTTTGTAAACTGCAAACTGATTGGCCAGTCTCTCTGCCATGATGCTTACTGAAAAAGTAACAGGTAAGAGAAAGCTTTTGTTTAAACAGTGGTATAACTCATCCACAAAAGACATCTGGTCCAGGCTGACCAGAGAGAAAATGTGCTTCTGTGTTCTTTAGCAAGAACAGCTCACTTACTCTTTTCAACGGCTGGTTCCAACTGCTCCTCTATTACTTTTCTGAATAAGTATGCCAAGCCAAAGTACTGGGGTTCCACAGTTTGATTCTCCGAAGTAAGCATATTTTCAATGTTTTCTATTGCAACATCTATGTTATTGCTGTAAGACAAAGTAAAATAAATTGTAAAAAAAAAAGTCTTTGCTTTTGTATTAATATGGCAGGCAGTTTTAGTATGAGAACTTACTTTGGGACTCACACATACAAGTACTTCAGGAAAAAAAGGAAATATAAATACCACTAACCCGGATAAAAACCACTATGCAAACTGAACTTAATCACACGTAGGTGGCAAAGGCAATCACTAGGTAGTCCATGCTACAATAACTGAAGTAGTTGCTTATTGTAAAACACTGCTCTGGAGACAAGACCGAACACACATATAGAAGAATCAATGACAGTAACTTAAGAAAATAGTTTAGCTTAAATATCTAATTTGATTTTGCAGCTCTTTGGGTATAAAATGGAAACTTATTTTAAGTGCTGTAACTTTGGCTTTATGATCTACAACTACCCACTACTGCATGAGGTCAAGATCTTGCATAAGACCTCAGGATTCTTAAAGATGCTAATGATGTCTTCAAAGGTCTACTTTCATGTCTTTCAATCACAGTCACATTAATTTGTTTTTGTTGGGTATCACACACATTTGAAAAATAATCAATTTATACTAAAGTTCTCAGAAAAAAAGTATCTTTACAGTTTACATTTAAAAAAAAATCAATGACACAGCCTTACTTAACAAGTTATGATATAAATGATCTGCACGATTATCTTTTTGGTCAAGGTACTCTTTAATCGACACTTTACAGTTATGATACGGCAATCCAAATCCAAATAATCCATTTTATGTTAGAATTCTTACCTAACACATAAGAAGTCTCTAATAAAAATGAATACTCTGTTACGTTTTTCTTATGGGTTTTAGTGAGATAATTATTTAATAGTGAATAAAAACACCTTCTCCACATCATATAAAACTGTTTAATATGGTAACATTCTAAAATTCATCCAGATTTACTTGGATAATTTCCTTGATCTTCTGACAACATATCTACATTTTCTTATTAAGGGAAAATTTGAAGTTCTGTCTGGGAGGAAACAGTTTTAAAAGGAAAAACAAAACAAAACTTCTCTGCCCAGAGAAATGGGAACAAACAAGAACCCCTGCAAAAACAAACATTACATTTTAATGATCAAAACCCATTAACTGTATGTGAGGTTAACTACTAAAGAACACTTAAAAGCATGAAGAGTGTCAATTTCATAATCATCCCATGAATCTATAACTTGAGCAACGTACTCTGCTTGCCAGGCTAATAAAAATCAAGTATTTATTTACTTCTATACAGTGGCGAGTCTATGCAAGGAATCTAGAGATGGTGGTAAGAGAATCACCTCTAAACACCTCCCTTTTTATGGGTGTGTGTTGACAGGAGGGGATGGGTAGAACGGTGGGGAAAACAGACATGCATATTTTTAACAAGCTTGCGTGTCCCTGGGCTTCTGCAATGTTCTAGTAGAGTGTCACCCTCAAGTGTTGCTGACAATGCAATGAACTCATTTTCCACATTTGTGTCAGTGTTTCAACAACAAGGGCCTGGCCCGTATGAATGAGAACAGTTATCAACTGTGGAGAAAGTTTCATGGATTTAAAAATTTGATAAACGTCATTCTAAGGTCTAATTTAAAGCTAAAACACATTTTGTAACATATAATTATTCCTTAATAGTTAGAGAACAATCAGCAACTGGCATCAATATTTCCTCTACAGTTGATACGGTTTCTAATAGCCTAAGAAAGGTTTTAAAAGGTGGTATTTAAGATAATGCTCCTTCCAGTATCCAGGAAAGGAAAAGTTGAAAATACTCACTTCTTTATTTGTGCCAAAGCAGTGTTATTGATGAAAACCATACTTGAAAGTCCAATTGAATGTTCGAGTCCATCTACCATCTTCTGAATCGCCTGTATGCTTTCTACATCACCCTTCAACGCATATGCCTGAATAAGGCGGGTCACTGCTATCCTAGAAGGTATCTGCTCCAGATCCAAGGCTGTTTTTAGTGTTGTTAGAGCCTCTACAATAGAAGAGCAGGCGAAAGAGTTTTTCTTTTATGAGCCGTACTGCCTAATGCATTTTGAAAACCAGCTTTTAAATACAAGCACCAAATGGCTACACACAAAAAGCTATGAATAATTTATTCTAGATTACAGAAAATATTAATACTTTATGAGAAGCCTAAAAAAAATTATTTATTTGACTATAAAATATCAGAGACCAGAGAATTTCTTCTTTAAATAATCAGAGAGAGGGGCGCCTGGGTGGCTCAGTCGTTAGGCGTCTGCCTTCGGTTCAGGTCATGATCCCAGGGTCCTGGGATCGAGTCCCGCATCGGGCTCCCTGCTCAGCGGGAAGCCTGCTTCTCCCTCTCCCATTCCCCCTGTGTTCCCTCCCTCACTGTGTGTCTCCTTCTGTCAAATAAATAAATAAAATCTTAATAAATAAATAAATAATCAGAGAGAAAATACAAATGCTACTGACACAATGTGGGTTCCCTTCAGGGATAACATTCAGGGACTGATTTCAAGGAAATCGTCAAGTTCCGAAAAATATAAATCAGAATTTTAAAAATTAAAGAGTCTCCCAAAATATCGTTAACTTCTACCACATTCATACTTTCCCAGACTTTATTACACTGAAAGATTACCTGATTATCAAAATCTCCTAATATCCCAAAGATTCTTCCTTGAAAACAATGCCTCCTTCTAGTCTAAACAGGATCGACTATGCAGCCACCGCCAAACTGCGCCATTCAACTTCCCACACTAACAAATTCATTTTACATGATTGAACACTTAGTAGGTATTTGCTGGCACTCATTTTTCAAAGAAAATACAGATCATCAGATTCCTATGGATATAGCCAGAGGTTTTTTTTTTTTTTAAATAAGTACCTGATTATGGATAAATATGGAATATCCTTTCAATTTATGGACTCATGTGCCAGTGTAGCGAAATCATTACATTAAAGATAAAGTGGTAGACAGGAGGGAAAATTTAATACTTAGCATAACAATCACCATTACCGCTACCAAGAAAAACTTCATGGCTTTTTCAAAATTAAAGCAATGTAACCTAGAAAACACTAAGACTCTGAAGGCAGCTTCCAAATGAGAACAACCTATCTTCTACAGAAGAATAGGGAAAGGGTAATAATTAAACAATGTATTAAAAGTGCTACAGTAAAAAACATAATGCTTTCAGTGTTTATTACTGAGTAAACAATTTTTAAATACTCCAGATTCTCAAGTAGAGAAGAGAAAATAGGTAGTTTAAAAGGCACATTCACCAAAATTTTATAAATACACATGTATATTTAGGAAACAAAAAATGTTATTTATATTATTTTAGTAATGTAATCTATTAAAAAAAAAAAGCCTGATAAAATCTTCTTAACTGGTAGTCATAGATAATCAACTTAAAAACATTCTTTTAACCAAGAGTACCATCTGCTACGGAGGATCTTCTCACCACTGGATCAAAATAACCAAAGTAAGATAAGGATAGTGATGTTAGGAACTAGGATAAACTGGACCTTTTCTACCTTTGCTGAGCATGCAGACCCAGTAGTAAGCAGCTACACTCACAGCTACCCTTCTGAGCTAAGTACCAATTTTACAGGTGAGAAACTGAGAGAGAGTTTAAATCATTTGCCCAAGGTCGTACTGCTAGACACCAACCCCAGAATCCACCACCCCAGAGCCTGCATCTACGGGCGCACGTGTAAATGAGAGAGGAGGACTGGGGCAGCTGATCATCTTCCGTCTACCCAAAGGGAACGTGGGACCTTAGAACCTAAATCAAATTCCCGTAACAGGACTCGCCCTCTGTATAGTTCAGGACCTAAGGGACACCCAAAATGGTATACCCAACCACACTCTCCCCGAGTCCTTTTCACAGTCACCTTAATTTCCTAGTAACACTGATTATGTTGCAAAGGTGCCACAAATCAGCTATTAATATTCCAGAGCAGAATTTGCTTATAAAGTTACATTAAGATTGAGCTGGCTTTATTTTTGTTTTAGATGGGACGGAGAAAAAGAAACCCAAAAAGGAGAAGGGGATTTCACAAACTGGGAGCTCCAGTCAGCCATGGGGCAAGATAAGGAGCCGGAGACTGTGCCAACACCACTCCCCATCCTTGCTGACGAGCATCGTTAGGTGATGGCAAGGTGCGGGAGGCGGCATGTGGGGATGGAGGCGGCAGCGTCATGGCTCCTGCTCTCAGCCAACCTCCAGCTGAACGGAACTGCTGAGAAGAATAGATGTGAAATCACATCATCAAGTTTCTTGTGGTTTCCACAGGGCACCAAATATACAAGTGAAGGACAGGAATGAAATTAAATTCAGTTCGGATTCAGCTCAAAAATTAACCCCCCTGAAACTAAAAAAGTGCTGTATCTTTACCTCCAGGTCTACAGAAATAAAGGCTTTTTTTTTTTAAATCAAAAATAAAATGAAAGCTTTTAAAGTTTTAGTAACAAGCTCTGCCCAGAAGGGCTACCTAGATGGGCTGGCCCCGCCTGGAGAGTGCCGAGGTAGAAATTTTGCAAAAAGAGAAATCACCATTTACATACTCAGTCCTAATCAATTAGGAGGGCATCTAAAGACCAGCACATTTAGGTATCACAGGTGACGGTAAAGGTGCACAATTAGCAACTTCCTCTCAGGGACGTGAAATTATTTTATAAACACGCAAGTGAAGAATAATATCATTATTACAGTCTGAGGAAGAAAGGTGATACCAGAGTGAACAATTAGAGAGCTTTTTCAATGTTCCTTAAAGATTTCCCGTGTGGGTTCTGTGGTATTGGCAACACTGCGGTTTTAACGGTTTTACTATATTGACTAAAATTCAAATGTAAAGCCCAAGAAGGAAAGATGTCTACCTAAATTCAAGAGAGTCATTGTTTTTCCCCTTGGGAGCTCACTCGTACGACCTCCGGGTCCACGAACACCCTCCACCAAACCAACGGCCCCCTTCCCAGTCCTCCCCAAAGTCATCTCTGCAGTTTTCTGCAGTTACCTTACCATTGACTGAAAAACGCTAAACTCCAAACTCCAAACAAACACCGTATTTTATTGCTGTTGGTATTATGAACTATTGAAAAAGTATTAGATTAAGTTTTAAAAATCAATATTATAATCATTTGGTGCACAATCCCACACATTTAACACTCAATTTAACTCATCTGCTATCTCACACACAACCAACACAATATGCAAGAAACAAGTGCTGGGAATTGTTTCAGATGCTCTAAAGTATGTTAATTTCCAAAGCAAAATGACTTGTGCTGTGAATTTTAACGCACTTGAAAGCCTGTACTTTCTCTCGTTCTGGAACACAAATTTTGCATGTCTGAAGAGCTGTGATTCATCTTAAGAAAACCCATCTTGTGTTAAATGGAATGGAAACTGGACTAAGTGGTCAAATGACAAGTACATTCATATTCAAGCTGTATTATAAATGCATGTACAGTAATTTACGTCTCTCAGCTACCACAAAAGGCTCTTGATAAGCAGGTAATTTGCTAAATGGACTCCTTTATCCAAGTATTCGAAGGGCGTTACAAGAAAAATCTGCAGAGGCATTAATGTGACGTAAAGGTCAAGCATTGTGACATACCTTTCAAATAATCCCGCCTAACTTGCGTTATGATGAGGAGGCTGTTGGCAGCATCGTTCAGTGTGAAGCCCTTGATGTGGGTCTCAGCGCTAAAAGAAGCAGACATTTAGAAAGGAATTACTGACATGCTTCTGATACGATAATAAATGGTTGAGCACCAAGGTGAAATTATAAAAACTACTGTTCGTATGTTAAAAATATTGCTGCAAAATATCGACCTGGAGACAGCTTTTGTGTTATCCTGTCAATGGTTATAGAAGGATAATTTTTTTTTGCATTCTGACAGATGACAAAGTTGGAAATGAGCAACAAAAGAAACAAAGTACAAGATTTTTTTTAAACAATCGGTTCAGATTCTTGAATGCTGACATATTAGATGATAAAATAACTGCATGCCCTGCATTGTTCTGCTATATCCTAAGCTGGATACTTTTTCCTCTTTTCTCTACATTCACCATAATTATAAAATGTAAAACTATTCTTTCAGCAACAAAAATGAACATTTATTTTCAGCACTGTGTATTTTAAATACAAACGAAAGCATATTACTAACTAACACCGTATCATTTGGTTGATTAATTTTCAAATTTCTGTCATCTAGCTACATACAGTTTTTAAAGGTGAGCGTACTGCAGAACTAAAACCATTGTTACCTTAAAATTAAAAATTTCACAAAACAATCTTGTCCCAGCCGTTTAATTTGAAATAAAACTCCCCAACTTTTTAAAACGCAAGAGCAAAAATCGCTTTACTTAAGGCTAAAACCTACGTGATTAAAAAACCACCCTGGCCTGAGATGATTTCTGTTTGCTACACTGTTTGCACATCCCCTGTGATGAAATTTCCGCATCCTTAATGCCCCCAGGGTTCATCTCCCGATTAGGAAATCTCCACAGGTCACAAGGAGCAAAAGCAATTGTGGCCGTTTGCCTTATCAAGCTCAGCGATGATCTTGCTGCCAACAACCTCGGCCTGCCGACATGAACATCTAAGCTGAGCGGATTGCCAGAAAAGCAGGGTCACTGCTAAATTATTCTCGTCAATCCCAAGAAAATCCTCCAAAGACACTGTGACTTGCCCATCCTCTCAGTCACTTCCAGCCTCGGAGATTCACCACTGCAGTCCCCTGGCACAGGATTTTCTTATCCTCCCCCCCCCAATCCTCTTAATCCAACCAAAGCACCCATTGCTCAGTTTGACTTTTTCCCTTTGTCCCCAATCTGTCAAAGCTCTTAAGTCAACAACTCCTGCATGAGACTATAAACTGCATTAAATAAAGGATTTACTTTCTCAATCTTTAGCGTGATTAAATAAGCAGAAGACACTATTAAAATTAAGCTCACTTCTTAAGCGAACATTATTACATGTATTATACCATATTTACATGAAAATATTAGCTAAAATTCATTGAAACTATGCAGTAACAAAACTTCCCTTTTAATTGACATCGACTGTGAACTATCAGCCTTTCAAAAACCTCAAAACACAGAAGTTTCTTTTAATAATCTCTTCCTATCTCAAGAAGCTGCCTATTCAATACAATTACAAAAGTGGGGATTAACAGAAAGACAGAAACTCTCCCCAGCTCTATTATATGCTGAACATCTATAATCTTACACATGTACAAACTGACCAATCAAAAGCAAAATATATTCCAAACTGGAAAAAGGAGAAAAACTACAGAAAGTACTGGCAGAGATCTCTGTGTTGAACAACAAAAGAAGTTTATGCTTCTGACCCATACTTTGGATCTTTCCTTCTGTAAGTAAAAAATCTAGTGCAGAGCTGTCAAATCAAACTTCCTGTGATGATGAGAACATTCCTATCCACGCTGCCCAACAGGGTAGTCGCCAGCCACACGTGGCGACTGTGATGGAGGAATGGAAATCGCAATTTCCTAAAAATACAGTTTAGTGTTATCAGAGATTTAAAATAATAATCTCCCTTACTGCTCTTCTTCAAATAAGCAGTGCCCCTCCCTTGAAAGAATTCGCTACATCTAAAATTTGATTTTGAAACATGAGGAAATGTAACTAACTAAAAATGAAAGAGAGCTGTCTAATTTTTTAAAGGCTGCAATTACTGTGACTTTTGAGGTTCCATAACTTATGGGAAGGGTTTAAATGACCTTGTTGATAAAACCCCCGAATGAGCGTGCCTCATTTTTAGCAATACATCAGAGACAGCAAAGGTAGAGCAAAAACAAAGATTGCATTCTTTAGTTTGCAGAGAAAACTACTGCCCCTAAGACTGAACAAGTGAGATCATGCAGGTTAAAACAACAGACTTAAAAACAAACAACAGACGGCTCTCTGTGGACTGACAGTAACTGTCGAAATACATGGGGGTACTGCTACCTGCCACAATGGCTCATCTGGTCACACCATATTACAGTAAAGATGGCCATTAAAAAAAGCAACAATTCTTTTTTACCCAAGAGCACTGATACACAACTGGAAGAAGAGATGACCCCGATAGTTAGAAACTCGAACTTCAACTAACACTTCTGAATTTCCAGCCAAGAGTTACTTTCAAAATAACCCAATGTAGATCTAACCCAAGATACATATTTGTTTTTAAAATTTATTTACGAGAGAGAGAAAGCGAGCGTGCATGTGTACACACACACACACACACACACACACACACACACACACACACACGAGCGCCAGCAGGGGGAGAAGCAGAGGGAGAGGGAAAAGAGAGAACCTCAAGCAGACCCTGTGCTGAGCGAAGAGCCCAAGCTGGAACTTGATCTCACGACCCTGAGATCATGACCTGAGTTGTAATCAAGAGTCAGATGCTCAACCCACTGAGCCACCCAGGCACCCCCCAAGATACAATTTTTTTATAGTTAGATGTAACATGTTTTCGGTTCAAGGAAAAGCATGTGCATCTAATCCCCAGATTAGGTGCCTATAGGCATGGTAAGGCTTTGCATCTAGGATTCTTTTAGGCCCACCCAGCTATATGTGAAAGGCAGCTGCAAAATACTCCTGGAAGGATACCACAGCTAAGATAGAAGTGCCCTCAAGAGTACAAAAAGGCTTCATGAAGATCTAGAGAAGGAGGGAAAGAAAGATCAACCTACATTTTACACATCGTACACAGAAGGGGAAATAGAAGGGCTGTGCTTGCAAACACCTTCTAGATCAGCAGCCTTCACACTTGTGTGATCAAGATCCACAGTCACATAGAAGAAATGTTTTACACTACCTACCAGTGCACATATAAATAAAACTCACAAAACGATCTTTATCACATGAAGTACTTTGATATTTTCTATTCTGTTTAAACAAAATGTTGGTTCTGTCCCACTAAAGAGAGATTCCGTGACCCACGTACTGGTTACAACTGCAGTCTGAAAAACCACCCATCAGTGAGCCATCTTCAGTGAAAGGTACTTAACACTGCATGAAGGCTCTAGAGTGAGGCAAGAAAACCTTTCAGCCTCTATTTTTAAATCTTATTATCCTCTGAAAAGTTTCTATTTTGTATGTTTTAAAATACCTAACATGCCCTACATTAGTACAATTCATTATTAATGGTATCTGATCAAAATGTTTACATCATGTGATTACTGAATCACTTGGGTGATTATTAAATGCAGATTCCTGGGCCCTGCACCAGATCAAATGAATCAGAACCTTTGGGGTAGGTTGTGGGGAATCTTTTCATGCTAAAAGAACGTGAGGCTCATTGTTCTAGGACAAGCCCAATTAAAACGGAAAAAAAAGAAAGATAATCTGTATCTTGGGGAAGTATTTCAGGATCAACCTCAGGATTAAAATTTAAAATAAACTTTCCTTCTTTGCTTCTATCCCCTCATTGAATCAGACCCGGTCCTCACCACAAAATGCGCCTCTCTTTTCTCTGCCCCGTTCCTCCCAAATCACTGTTGCTTTAGAACGCCTTTGATTACCACGGGCAGCGTTAGGGTAGAGAGTTTAGGTAATAATTTTCTGAGAAAAGTAATTTTAGGAAAAACCCCCACCCCCTTGATGATTCCAATGATTACAGAGGACAGTACGCTGTTCAATATCAAATTTTCCAAGTCACTAATTGAGCAGCTCTTGAGTATTCTAGAGATATGTAATTTAATTAGCAACTGAGTAAACACACAAATGAGACACAGAATACATTAAAGACTTGAACTTTTGGGCGCCTGGGTGGCTCAGTCGTTAAGCATCTGCCTTCGGCTCAGGTCATGATCCCAGGGTCCTGGGATCGAGCCCCGCATCAGGCTCCCTGCTCGGCGGGAAGCCTGCTTCTCCCTCTCCCACTGCCCCTGCTTGTGTTCCCTCTCTTGCTATGCCTGTCTCTGTCAAATAGATAAAATCTTTAAAAAATAAAAAATAAAAAATAAATTAAAAAAAAATAAAGACTTGAACTTTTAAAAAGTCTTCGTGTGGGGCGCCTGGGTGGCTCAGATGGTTAAGCGTCTGCCTTCGGCTCAGGTCATGATCCCAGGGTCGTGGGATCGAGCCCCACATCGGGCTCCTGGCTCAGCGAAGAGCCTGCTTCTCCCTCTGCCTCTCTCCCTGCTCATCATGCTTTCTCTCTCTGTATCTCTGTGTCTCAAATGAATAAATAAAATCCTTAAAAAAAAAGTCTTCGTGTGACTGTCCTTGATATAGGACATGCAAATGATGATTCAAGACCATAGATATATATATGGTGAGCATATGTGTGTGTACACATGCATACCGTACATATCTATATACACTGTACATCATATACACTGTACGTGCGTATATATGCATTTCCACAGACAAGTACAGTCATATACATTTTTCAAAATGTAACGAAACACAAACAGTAAATATGTCCCTATGGTGCATAACATTACACTGGCATTAAGAGCAGATTTTCCAGCAAACTGCAAGAATGGAAAGCATCCACTTTCTAGTCAGGATTCTAATATTTCAAAAGTACTGTGACTTAAAAATTTTGAAGGCCAAAACTGAGCCAAGAGAGATTATTTCAGAACTTGCAATACACTAGGAAAAGGCTGACCTTCGCCACTGAAAATAAGGCTACAAACTCATCACCAGGACAGGTCTACATTACAGAGCAGGGTCACTGTGATCTATTCCGTTCTAAGCCCTTTCTGGTTAATAATGCAACTTTTCGTGATAACTCCTTGGGGATAAGACAACAGAGTCCATTCACTGACACACCAGGTAAGAAAACCGTATTCTTGTTCTGATTAATTTTACTGTAAGGAACTAGCCAGAGACAAAACTCCTACCACCACCACTCAACAGATTTTTTTTTTTAAATCCAAAATCAAACAAAAAACACAACAGACACTGAAAGAGAAAAGGCATTTAAAATGTGTTGAGCACCTATATTTTCACTAGTTCATTCTTAAGGGATCTTTCATGTAGGTCTTATTATCATCCACTCATCACATAGAAGAAGAAATGAGCTTCACAGATGGGAGGTAATTTCCCCAGTAGAGATTTCAAGTAAGATTCGAATTCCTGCCTAAGTTCAAAGCCCTTGGGTGTTTTCATTGCATCAGGCTCCTTCCACCACAAAGGCTCATGAATCTAGCTGCTGAACAAGAAACAGAGTATGATAAAGGGAAAAAATTATTTTTCTGTATAGGGACTTCATAAATGAGTGGCGAGCTTATATTACACAAAGAAAATGTACTGCACTGTGCAGGGCCAGTAAAGGTTATTTTTTATAGGTTAAAAAAAACCCATAACATTAGAAAACCAGGGGTGCTTAGGTGGCTGAGGCGGTTAAGCATCTACCTTCGGCTCAGGTCATGATCTCAGGGTCCTGGGATTGAGCCCCACATCGGGCTCCCTGCTCAGCAGACTATGGTTCTCCCTCTCCCTCTGCCCCTTCCCCAGTTCGTGCTCTCTCTCTCTCTCTCTCTCTTCCTCTCTCTCTCAAATAAATAAAAAAATCTAAAAAAGAAAAAAATTAGAAAAGCATTTCATAGGATTTTTGTGAGTAGTTGAGGATAATTAAGCAGCTGCTACAAATCATTAGGAAAATCCTAATGATAGCTGATCCTTTTCTTAAGTGACAGGTTTAATAAATGGACTAATACTTACAATTCTTTCACTTGTACTGCTTCTAAGAAACTATCCTTCTCCAACAATAATTTTATAAGACTGCTGTAAGTCTCACTGTTCAACACAATGTTTTGCTTTTGTGCCTTCAGGAAAGTAGTATATGCATCTACGAAGGAAAAAAAACAAAAAATGAGATGACGTTATTCCAAAATATCAGAAAGGAGGGAAAACCCCCTAGAGCAAAGCCCCAAAGCCACATGTGTGTTTGTCTTCATGCTCACCCACCATACCACTCTCCAGAGACAAATACACTGACCAAAACAGCAGAAGCAGTCACCCTTCTCATCTTTATAAAAACAAAGTCACAGTTTTGGACACTTTACTTAAGCCATGTGACTGGTACCTGAAAGGATTTCCTTTTAAAATTACTTTTCATACTAACTCTCCAAAGTCAATAAATTTATTTTCATGCCAATAAAAATGAGAAATAGCTCTTTTGAATTTGTCAAAAGATGATACTAGTTTCAAAATCAACTGCAAAATGTATGGTAAAGTCCAAATAAACCAGAGGTATAATTTAGATTGAGGGGAGCAAAAGATGCATTTTAAAGCCATCTTTAATCTATAAGTGGGTGGTTACAATGGTTAACATTTCAACACAATAGCATTAAAGTGAATATAGCCTATAATTCTAAAATTAGGAGATCAAATTATTTGGCTACGACAGGACTTATACAAAAACATACAATTTTCAAATATACAGGTATCTAACAAGTAAACTAAGCAACATTTGTTTGACTGATTAACAGTTTTATTTCACTTGTTCACAATAACTGTCAGTGAATGAAAAGATGTTACCAAAAGAGAAGTAACTACACTTTTCAGTCACTTACTTTTCTGAAATAAAATTGCCTGGCTATAAACATCCAACTGAAACTATAATCCACTCTCTGGTGTGTATAAAGTCACAATAGAGATGGGGCACCAGTGAACTATCATGTACGACCTTCGGTGGGTATAAAGCTCAATGTAAGGAAATACAATACACGCAACCAGGAGTGAGCATGATATTAATGCTCAGAAGAAGATTCTGAGCTACTTTAGAGGTTTCTGAACAAGCAGACATTATATTTGTATTTCAAAGTTAGGGCAGTTTGCAAGAGCCCTTCAATTAAACTGAAGTGACAATGTCAAAAACTTATTCTTTCACACTGAGCTCAGACAAAACCAGAGAGAAAAGATATGACATTAATATCTGCATCTTTTTTTTTTAAGATTTTATTTATTTAGTTGACAGACAGAAAGAGAGAGAGCACAAGCAGGGGGAGCGGCAGGCAGAGGGAGAGGGAGAAGCAGGCTCCCCGCTGAGCAGGGAGCTCAATGCGGTGCTCAATCCCAGGACCCTGGGACCCACAACCTGAGCAGAAGGCAGACGCTTAACTGACTGAGCCACCCAGGCACCCCTAATATCTGCACCTTAACCAAGGAGAACAGATAAAACCTATCATTCAGTCCATGATGCTCCCTTTTACGAGAGCTAAGAAGTTAAATGCAGTGCAATTACTGTCTACTCCCCAACAAGCATAGTTTGTTTGCTCAATGAAAATATACAATAAGCACAATTGAGTATTTAACATTAACAAAATAATCTAGGAAATCTTACTAGTTGTTTTCTAAAATTGTAGTTTATTTTAAAGATTTATTAGAGAGAGAGAGCGCGCACGCACACTCACGCACACGAGCAGGGGAGGGGCAAAGGGAGAGGGAGAAGCAGCAGACTCCCCACTGAGTGCAGAGCCCAACACAGGGCTTGATCTCAGATCTTACAACCCGTGAGATCACAACCTGAGCTGAAATCAACAGTCGGATGCTTAACCAACTGAGCTGCCCAGGTGCCCCGAAAATTAAAATCTTTGTATGAAATCGGATGGCTCTGTTTATTATTCTCTATTAGTTGGAAAAAAGATAGAAAGAAAGAGGCTATCACTGTAATGCACCACACTCATTTGTCACAGGTTTCTGGTGTGAAAGTCAGTATACTAAGCTATCAGAAATTGGATAAAGTACTAACACGAGCAATCAATTTTCAAAGTATTAATGTTTTGCTAAGCATCCAAATCCTGAGATATACACAAAACTAAAAACTCTGAAGAATTAACAGGATAAACCAGTTAAATAAATATAAATTGTATATTAAAACTAGAATAGGGGTATGTTTATAGTAATAAGCAGTGCATTATATTTATTTAGTTAACTAGTTGTTTTTACTTAAATAAAAGTTTTTAAAAAGGTGACATACGAAGGAGTTCTAGAATCTTCAGTTACCTTATACACTAATTTTATACTCATTTCAGTCTAATCAAAATTCCACTACTGAAATAGTACTAATGGTCATAATTAACTTTATATTTAGGTTTAACAACATATATATGGTGAAAGACTCAAGGATGTATATAGGGAATATGCCGCAAAGGAAAATGATCCAAAGAATAAAGTTACTATTCATGATTGAGAAAGCATAAGAGCTTGGCTTATTCTTTCCTCGTACACTTTATGTCACTGTCACAAAATTCTAATTAAGTAAAGAAATTAAGAGGTTCTGTAAAATTCTAAATTGATTCTTTTCTACTGAACAGAGCTCAAAACTGTCAACACTAAAATGAAAAAAACAATCTGCTGCATAATGGTTAAAGTATCATAAAGCATACTTGAAAATCCACACAAAACTGAAGGAATTAAAGATAATGTCAGCATGCTATGGAGAAAAATTAACAAAAGTGAAGGATACAACAGTAACATAAGATTTTGAAAGAGTACAATGAAGTCTAAATGGAAATGTCTGTAATATAATAGGCAAGCTGGTATCAGAGGGTTCAAGATGGTCATAAAAATTTTAAATAGTCATAATAGTGATAGGCATTCCACTTCAGGAAAGTTTACCACGAGAGTAAAGGAAGAGCAAGACACAGACCTCATGTCCGGCCTCCAACCTTTAAATACAACATACATGAGTATGGTGCTTAATGCCCTACTCATTTTCTGCTTTCAAATAAATGTGAAATCTATAATAAATATATTTGCCAAAAAACATTCATGATCATGCTATTTTCAAAGTATAATTTTTGATAAAATGTATGCCTATTTTAGTTTTTATTATAAAAGATTTCAAACATACAGAAAAATATAAAGAATAGGGGCGCCTGGGTGGCTCAGTTGGTTAAGCGTCTGCCTCCGGCTCAGGTCGTGATCCCAGGCTCCTGGGATCCAGCCCCGCATTGGGCTGCTCCCTGTTCCCGCGGGAAGCCTGTTTCTCCCTCTCCCACTCCCCCTGCTTGTGTTCCCTCTCTCGCTGTGTCTCTCTCTGTCAAATACAAAAATAAAATCTTTAAAAAAAAAAAAACAAAAAAATATAAAGAATAGTATAATGGACGCTTCCATATGCCCATCACCTGTATCTAACAATTACTATCATTTTGCCAGATTTGCTTTATCTTTGTTCCTTATGGCTTAGGTATTTTAAAATATATTATAGATATCTTGATTTTTTTTTTCATCTCTCAGTACTTCGTTAAGATCTCAAAATTTAAGGACACTGTCCTATAAATCTTAACAGCACTATCATATCTACTAAAAATGAGGTAGGGGTGCCTGGCTGGCTGAGTCAGAAGAGTATGAGACTCCTGATCTCAAGCCCTATGTTGGGTGTAGAGATTACTAAAAAAATAAAATAAAATAAATAAATTTTAAAAAATGAGATAATTCCTTAATATTATCTACTACTCAGTTGTTTTCCCAACTACCCCAAAATGTCTTTGTTAATTTAAAAAACAAAAGAAAATAATTAAGATATTTAAGTTCCATCGCTGTCCTAGAGCACTACTAATTTTTTTTTTTAAAGATTTTATTTATTTATTTGAGAGAGAGAATGAGCATGAGAGGGGGGGAGGGTCAGAGGGAGAAGCAGACTCCCTGCTCAGCAGGGACCCCGATGTGGGACTCGATCCCGGGACTCCAGGATCATGACCTGAGCCGAAGGCAGTCGCTTAACCAACTGAGCCACCCAGGCGCCCGAGCACTACTAATTTGTTAAAAGGGCTTAGATCCCATGTTGCTGTTAGAAGACCCCAGCATATAGATTTACCTTTGCTTTTCTTCTGTTGGCAGGCATTCAACAGATCTTTCTGGATATTACTTTCTGCACGTGAGGGTGATGAAGAATTCAGGGAGTGCTTTTCACCCTCATACCACAACTGAAAGACAAAAGTATTCAGTTAAACAAAACCTTGTATATAGAGTGACCTTTTTAGTATAAAGCTGGGCTAATTACGCCCTAGTTATACCAACAACAAAACCTGTTATGCTTACAGTTAAAAACAAATTACCTCAGGTACGTCAAAAGGAACCTCCTGATTACTGTTTCTAAGGATTTCTGCTAATAATCTTAATGTCTTTGCACGAGGAATAATATTTTCTTCTTGCATTTTATTCCACACAGCATCAGCTCTTTGCCAGTCACCATTTATTTCTGTAAAGTTTGATTAAGGAGAAATTAATGAACATACTAAGTCGAATTCATAAAAATGTTTAGAATTTTCTCCTATTTGATGTTGAAGTAAAGCATTATTCCAAATATTGCTTCCAAGGAAAAGAACAGGATGATTGTGGACCAAAGGCTTAAAGACTTCCTTCTGTATGCCTTCTGAGTTTTCAACAATGGGAATTCCTTACCTATTAAAAAACAACCCCCACCCCACTTTACTACACACTTTGAAAATCATGTTAATAAAGTCTTTTTAAAGTTACCGAGAAGTTGCCCACCGCTGAAATCAGAATCAGAAATAGGTAACAATTCCAAACTATGCCCATGAGGCTTTGGAAAGATGATGTGTACATGTATATAGTATAATACATAGCTGGAGGTCTAAAGTGATTGAAAGTGCACAAATATATGACTTTCTTCAAAAGTGTCAAATCAACAAATCCTTTTCACTTAGTGAACAGGGAGAATTCTGTCTCTTCTGCTGACTTGAAGAATGTCTATCACATTATGTGATAGATTTTTTAATCCCAACAAATAATGCCGTCAGACTAAATAAGTATTTTGGGGCAAGGGAAGTTTATTGGCAGGGAACAGGCAGATCCCTTCACATTGGATAATTGAGTTCCTCTTATGTGGTAACCTAATCTTCACAAATAGCAAAAACTTAATAATCAAGACTGTACTTTTAAACATTCTAATAGGTTTTGAAAAGAGAACAGGTCAAGTCATTTAATATAATAAACTTTTGCTTGTGAAAAACTAGACCAAAATATGAAAAATATCATGACACTAATTAAGTTCAATACAATAAATTAAGCACAAAGAAATACTGTTTTAACTGTGTTTTTTTTAATTTTCATATATGAATAAAAAGTTATCTTCATTGTGTATAGTCAGCTCCTAGAAGGGGGCTGCACAAATGTTCCAGAAAACATAGGTAAATATATTTCTCAAAAATACAAAAATACTAAAAGAGATGGGATTTTCCTAGATTCCTCCACACCTGTCCAACTGAAAAGCTACGTTTTGATAACTGATGGCTCCTGGAAGTAAAAAACTCAAAGAACAAAAACAAAACACATTCCTGCTCCATCAGAAACATACAACAAAGAAAACGGTAATAGTAAGAAAATTTCCCCAGGTCATACACCGATTGCAATGACTTTGTACATACTTTGATAATAAAATCAGTCACTTTAAAACCCTTAAATTTATAATCTATTTTCAAAACAAGACTCTGATAAGCTAATTAATTATGTTTTCCCTACATTAAAATGTTCTCATGTAATGTAAAATTCAAGAGTAACTTTTCAAGTATACGAATATATAAAACTAATCGGATTAAATAAATGAAAAACAAAACCCCAAGCTCCAGCATCTTTAATTCTGTAGAAGAGATAAGGTGGAACATTCTGTCCCCTGCCAGAGGGTACACCTGTGGACTGTGGAAGACATAGTTAGGGAAGGTGTCCAAGAACTGGAAACAGCACTGCTAAGGTGGTTTTTAAAGAGATTCATTTTTAAGATAACATGAATACTGAAGAGAAGGTGGGTGGAGGATGTACAACTCTGTCTTCAACTGTAGGAACTCTAGGAAAGTAATTTCTTCTTCTTCTAAAAAAGGCACGAGTATATGAAAGCTTCTACTTTGGGAGGACAAAAGGTATTACAGAGATGCACCTTTAATTAAAACGGACTAGCAACTTTTACAAGAAATTATTTCAGGGTGCCTGGGTGGCTCAGTTGGTTAAGTGTCTGCCTTTGGCTCAGGTCATGATCCCAGGGTCCTGGGATTGAGCCCCCCATCAGGCTCCCGTCTCAGCAGGGAGTCTGCCTCTCCCTCTCCATTTGCCTCTCCCCCAGCTCATGCTCTTTCTCGCTCTCAAATAAATAAAATCTTAAAAAAAAAAGAATATTTCAAAATACATGAAAATTAGATAGCATATATAACATGAAACAACTCATTTATATTTACACACACACACACACACACACGGACACACACACAGACACACACACACACACACAACAGACAGACATAAAACACGTACTTTTTTTTTGCTTAAAGGGAAAAAACTTCTTGGAAATATGCCTGGATCACTAAATATGTAACAAACATTTGAGACAATCAAACTAGTCGGTGTGCCAACACCTGCACCTGTGTGTAAATCCTTACAAAAAGCACAGAAAGGTCATGCCTTTCTGACGTAATAGCCATCTGGGGCTTAAAATCCCTCCTACCAGGATAACAATGATCATACTTGCTACCTGAAGAATCAAACAGCCATAAATCTGGGCTCTGACCAAGGACTGGACACTGCCTGTACAATCCCATCATCACATTCCTGGAACTCATGGTTCCCCCTCTTTAAAAAAACAAGGCAGGGCAGGGGGCAGGGTGCCTGGGTGGCTCAGTCATTAAGCATCTGCCTTTGGCTCAGGTCATGATCCCAGAGTCCTGGGATCAAGTCCTGCATCGGACTCCTTACCCAGCGGGGAGTCTGCTTCTCCCTCTGCCTGCCACTCTCCCTTCTTCTGCCTGCCATTCTCCCTGCTGTGCTGACAAATAAATAAATAAAATCTTAAAAAAAAAAAACAAAACGAACAAGGGGGCTAACTACTAAATAATCTCTCAGAACTAGTTAAGCTATTCAACCCAACAATTTTGGACACTACTATAAGAATACACACAGTAGTGGGGCTGTAATTTATGGCTATATGACCAGTGAGTAATAATAAGAGTTGGCACTGCGCATACAGTCTCTATGGTACTGAACTAAGAGATGAAAACTTCTAGTTCAGGGTTTTAATTGTAAAACTAAGTTTTTACATATTACTGATCAGATGGGGCCATTTATTATGGTCTCTAAATAAGCTTCCCTCTAAAATAAGGAATCCAAGTCCAGGGTAGAGATGCAACACAAGCCTGGACTGTCTTGTTCTGCCTGAAAACAATCAAAGACTACAGAGGTGTGTCAAATGACATAGGAGCCAACATAAAGGAGTCCCCACTGGTCAAAGACGGAACAATCTGAGCACCCAAAAGGATAATGATTGCAATAACCTGAAACACAAATATATTTAAAAAAAATTCATGAACTCACAAATTAAAAATTAATGGTCAACTTTGGAGGTTCCAAAGGCACCAGCACTTAAACTCGGTATTAAAGAGAAAAGGCACTGATCTCTCCCTGCGAATTTATTTCATATTAAGTATAAAAGGAAGCCATAAAATATAATATAGAGTATGAAACATGTAGCGTATAAAACAATCAAAATAATAGGTATATACGTAAAAAGTATAATAGAAATATAGAGAGAAAACACTGGAAGGATGGCCAATTGACAAGTTACTTCTGAGGGGTGGACAAAATGACATTTCCACTTTTGATTCTGTACACTATTGTATTGCGGGGAAGCCATACAGTGTGAAAAGAAATGTCAGTGGCCGTAAGTACTTGAAGAAAATAGCACAAAAACAATTTCTGATGTAGAACAAATGCCAAAGTTGTAAATTTTGGATTTTTAAAAATAGATTTGAAAAAATTTTAAGGTAAAATTACAAATGTAAAGCAGTTTTATTTTCCAATAATGTATACAAATAATAAACTATCTGTATATATGTAAAAAGAAACTGCAATGTTTAGAATACAATAAAATGTTCAGTAAGAAGGTAAAAATATTGTCATCTGAAAATAACGGCACGTTCTTTATGCAGGTGAGGGATTGCTTCATTCATGTAATATTTGTTATAGGTCTAGGAACTAGTATTGCAAGACTGTCACAATGCAAGGTCAAAGTGTATTAGAAAAGACAGAAATAAAGTTTGAATTGTGACAGATTCTTTTAATAGACCATCTATGAACATCCTACTGCATAGAGTAAGCAGAAAATGAAACACTTTTAGTACAAGTAGTATTTAAAGATATGAAAAGTTTCATTTTCTATTTCTTAATCTAGCCTATGGTTATATGAATATTGGCTATCATAAACCATTGAGCAATGTGTATCTCTGTTTTGTGCCTGTTTCTGTAGTATGTTGTAATTCACAACATTAAGTGTGCAGGTGTGTGGCGGTGGATACCATTCTAAAGCAAAGCAAAACTGCTCTTCAACAAATACCCAAAAATAATTAGGCCACCCTCTTTCAGGGACCAAAATTACATCATAAGAAAGAACGAGCTCCAGTCAGTTAAACGTCTGCCTTCGGCTCAGGTCATGATCCCAGGATCCTGGGATTGAGCCCTGCATCTGGCCCCTGCTCAGTGGGGAGCCTGCTTCTCCCTCTCCCTCCTGCTCATGCTCTTTCTCTCTCAAATGAATAAATAAAATCTTAAAAAGAAAAAAAGAATGAGCTCATAAAAAGTTCCAGAAGGCCAAACAAATTATTTTCTCAGATATTCACAATCCACAATATGGATTTTTCAAGTACAATAGGGCATTTCATATATCATATGTTCCTTTTCAAATAAATTGAGTCCATAGTGCTTTATAAATTATTTAACATGTTTAAATAAGTGGGTCCAAGGGCAAAATGGAAAGAGAGGCCAACAAAGGAGAGGTTGTCTGTTCTTCAGAAAGGGGAGGATTACCACATTATCTATTTATAGCACTACAAAGGTATGAAGTATACAAACTGGGTTAAAAAGTATACTTCATTATAATGATTCCTCTCACTTCCAGCCTTACAAGAGGCCACCCTCACGTTACAGGGCTCTTCAGACTATTGGCTCTAATACAGAGCAAAAAACTGGAGGAAGGTGTCCAACAGAGGAAAGCGAGGGGATTAAGGAGAAAAAAATGGTAATAAACCTCAGAGACTCCTTATTCCTAAAGGAAATTTTAGGATGAACTTAGAAGTTGTTTTCTTTTTCTTTTTTAAAAAAGCATCAGCAAAATGTCATCTCCACTGGAAAAAGAGGTTTGTGAGGCTGGCCACCTCCACCTCCCATGGACTACCACTGTACCTTGTGCATTCTTCCAGTTGTTCTTTCACTCCATATTCTTAGTCTTGGTTACAGGCCTAACCACACAGAGGTTTTTTTATCTGCAGTGTCCTCTTCAATATCTAGCATGGTTAGGGATTACGGTCCTCTGGGGGGACTACTTTAACTGCTAAGACTCATTTGGATACATTCAGGGTTTGTTTTTCTTTTTCTGGAAGTTGGTATAAAATTAAAATTTAAGCATGAAATAGTTCCTCAAAAGGAACAAAGGGGTGGAGAAGGGAAAGAATTAGCACTTGAATAAATACAGGTTATAACCCACCAATTAAGGACTAAACGCCTAAAACATAAGTTTTCTAATTGTATATACTCAGTAACAACCTCAGTATTATGTGCCAGAATTTGACCATTCAAGCTAAAAAATTGAATTTTAAGAATTTTAAGAATTACACAGTAAAGTGTGCACTTCAATGCAACCAACAACTGAAGTATAAATTTTACAGCAAGTCGTATTATTTATACCATCAACACAGAAGATAAAGCTTCTAATGATAATACAAATTCAAAAAGACAAATGAGTTAACTTATTCACTGCTATCTGTTTGGTGAAGGAAAATTTCCCATAAGAAAAACAAAATAACTAGATCAAATGTCTGGGAGGGAGGGAGGGAAGGAAAGAAGGAAGGAAGGAAGGAAGGAAGGAAGGAAGGAAGGTAGGAAGGTAGGTGGGTTTGTCACTGACTCTTCTAAGAGTTGTTCCTCTCCACCCAAATACCCTAAAGAGATTGCAAAGTTCCCAGGTGTATAAATTGAAATTGACATACTAGAACAGTTTGGTTAATAGAGATCAAAAGTTTCAGAACACAAACACAAATCCAGCCTAAGGAAACAACTATGGGTGTGAACAAAGATTAAGGTACAAAGATGCAGCACTGTTTTATAACATGTAAAATGGAATTCTAGTCACATGTCTAGCATAAGGAGATTGGCTGGGTAAATTCTAGTGTAGCCATTCAATGTAGTCATTTGTAGGTAATAAAATGTAAGAAAATGTTTATACTATAGATTTGGTCAAAACTGTATTAGAATATAATCAAATTTAAAAAATTGTTTAGTGATGAGTCTGTGTATCAGTACGCATTTTTCTGGAAAAAGATCTTTTTTTTTTTTTTTAAAGATTTTATTTATTTATTTGACAGAGAGACATCAAGAGAGGAAACAAGAGCAGGGACAGCAGCGGGGGGGTGGGGGGGAAGAAGCAGGCTCCCCGCCAAGCAAGGAGCCCAGTGCGGGGCTTGATCCCAAGATCATGACCGGAGCCGAAGGCAGAGCTTAATGACGGAGCCACCCAGGCGCCCCTGGAAAAAGATCTTATACACATGAACATGTTAGTGATTGTGTGATTTATAGTAGTTATTGGTAAGTCTACTGAAGGACTTAAATAAAAGGAAAAAAATCGGTCTATCCTCAAAAAGTTCTATTAAATTCTGTGGCCCTGATGAAGATTTTTCTCACCTTCTCATTACTGCAGTTAAGATTGTCAGAAATTATGAAAATTGTATGGTGTCTAGTGATACAATATAACATTCTGTGATAAAATTCAATCTGGCCTCTAAAATTAGCCTCTGTTGAAGACCACACATTTGACAATCACTAGACCTTCCTGATATTCCTTTCTTGCACCTGCCTTCAATAGAATAAATGTCTCAAGATGAGAACATGAGGAATAGTTAGATTACTTACTATATAATTTTAGCAGACTGTAGTACAGCTGGTCTCTATCACATTCAAACAGCTTCTGTGTCAGCTCCACTAATTTTTCTAGAATTTCAACCTTAAAAATAAGATTAACAACAGATGGATCTAGACTGTGTAAAGGATATATTTTATAGTTGACAAATCTCAGTTTAATAATCCTTCAAACAAGCTTTACCCAAAGGGCAGATCAACTTCACTTCAAAAGTTAAAGAGCCGAGCATAACAATGTGAATGTATTTAATGCCACTGAAGTGAAAACTTTAAAATGGTTAAAAAGATAAATTTTATATGTTATATATGTAGCTTACCATAATCAAAAGCAATTTTTTTTTAAAGTTAAAAAGCTGAAGGACTCTGTAGTCAAGAACAAAACATGAACAGTATTCTGCTTAAGGGAACCTCCATGAAGATGCATTTTGAAGAATTCAAAGATATTTGCGTAGGGGACTCAATGAGTATATCCTCTATTTATTAATAAGAATACTCCTCCACCCAAGTGTTATACTCCTCTTCCCCTATGGCTTTCACTTGGCAGGATATGAACAGATATCTGCACTGGAGGAGACGTCAAGTAGATATTCCACTGGGCTCCCATAAGTGACTCCTCTGGTCACTAAGGACTGAAGCAGATTTAAATTGCAAAGGAAACAAGGTTAGCCTGCTCAAGCCAACAACTAGGATAAAGCAAGCTAAAATCTTCAGGGCCCAAATTAAAACTTTTAGGGATTTTACTGAACCTCAGAAACAAGAATTAAGCTACTGCTTATTTGGAAAACCAAGATAATGCTGCTTCCATTAATAAGGCTATATGTCCTGAAATCCCCAAATGCTCATATGACATGTAGGAAGGACACCTGCTTTCTACTCACAGTTTTAGGTGCTTGAGACCAGAAATTAAACACAAACCTGATTACTTGAAATACATCTATCACAAAACCACTGAAGTCTTGTAGATCGAGCTCTAATGCCTGGAGTCTGTAAAATAAAATCATCATATAACACATGAGGTAAGGCTTAGCTAAATGTTAATCTTCCCTCAAAGACAATAGTTCTCCTTCTAATGAATTTGCTGCCTCCTTCCCAAATACTATAATAAAAGAAACCTATAACTTAATACCACAGTTACCAAAGACTTTTAGGATTAAAACAGAGCATAAACAATAGCCTATATTTAACCAGTATCCAGAAAATTTGGGTTATGTCAAAATGTTGCTTTGCAGGTCAATTTTCATTCCATAAATCTTTAAATATTAAAATGGTTAAACTTTCTTTAGTTTAAAAAGAAACCTTGACTCGGTGAACTAAATCAACTCCAAAAGATGTCAAATTAAACACACACACACTTCAGAGATCCCAATGGATTCAGGAAGCAAAAATTATTGTTACACAAACTTACTAACCATCATCATAACAATAAACCAATGGCTTTTACTTTTAAAAGAAACATGCTTTGTAAAATTTAGCGATAAAAGTATTCCGACTACCACGAATGTTTGCCTACTATCTAAAACTAAATGTGTAAAGAGCGAGGTACTTAAAATAAGGTAAGGACTTAAAATTAGTTCACAGTCTTAGTTTATTTCTATTACTGAGATATATGTTATATCCTCAATCAGAAATTACTAGGGTTTAGTCAGTAACTCTGGCTTCAAAGCACTTATTTTATAATTTTGGATACTGGAATAAAAGGCAAACTAATTCACACATAATTCCAAGGATTTGTCACTATAACTATAGTATTTTCATCATGTGTAAGAGGGTTTCCCCATTAAATACTACATTTCAATCACAGCATTATGATAAGAAAACTACATACTCATTAGCCCTGGCTGCTCCAGTCTAGAGGAGGTACCTCCACTGATTTCTCCCCTCAGCTCTGTTGACTAAACCAGGGATCCCTCAAATCTGATCTCTTATTTAGAAGTCAGGATTTTTTTATTCCTTAAAATAATACTGTACAATGTTAAATTAAGAAACGAAGCAGACACTAACATCTCAGAGCTTTGGCAGAATGACAGAAAAACTGGTACAGTATAAGTTGTAAAGTGCTCTCATTCGGACTGTGCAAGTATGCGCATTTTGGGATACAAGAAATAAATGCTGACTAAATCAACTGTTGAAATATATTCTCAAATATCATTAGTATGTGCATTTGCACACAATTTCTACTCAAGGATTTTCTCACATTACCTCTTTGATTTCCCATGCATTACACTGAAAATGAAACCAAATGAAATCAAATGTATACAAAAAGCCCTTTCAAAAATACTGCACCGTCCTCTTTAGAAGAAGGAGAAAATGCAAGGACTACATTCACTTATAACTTCAACTTATTGCTGATCCAAATGCCAATGATTTAAATAGCACAACTTTTATGGTAAACACTTCCTTTTTGTGGCTGATTAATCTGCCCGTCACTGTCAGGACAGCTGACTTATACGGCAGATATTCCTATGTTTCATTTTGAAATTGAGAACTGTTTTTACATTATAAATCTCAATCATCAAAAGAACATCTAGGTCAGATTAACTAAATCTCCTAGGCTTCTGTAATAGTCTACATTTCTGGCTTATCTCTTAACATGTTATTGAATTTTAAGCACTACAAGTTGAAAGTAAAAATAGAAAATGTAATAAAAATATGGAGAATAGAATTCTAATTGGGATGCTATTTAACTTACCATAAACCATTCAGTGCCTAAATAAAACAATGAACTTACCTAATTTTTTCTGTTTTTGCTACATATAATCTAATTAATGGACAGTGAGAATAAAATAATTATTGTAATAAAAAACCTGGCATGTTTGTTTCCACTGAGGTTACTGTACTTCAAAACATTCTTTTGGAAGTTCCAATTTAGTACTAGGTTCACTTGTATAAGAAGAGTAATGCAAAATAAAAAATAATTTTCATTTAATTTTGTTACATTACTCTGATGTAAATTTGCTGTTACCATAATAGGCTTCTACATACACTAGTAAAAAGACCTATCACGTAATTACTATCTTTAAAGTAGAAAGAAATGAAGATTCTCCTACTTCAAACTCAAGGAAAACCATCTTAAATTTGACTCAAATAAAAGTTTGTACCTGTTTTGATGCCTCCTGCCGTTAATGCTAGAAACATGAAATGGAAAACGAACAACTATTCAAGCCTCATATCCTCTACTCAATGTAGCAGGAAGAAAATCAAGTGCATGAGAGGGAGTGGACAAGCAAAAACAAGAACCCAACTATTTATCTTTATAGCTAGAATAGCAAGGGAAGAAAAAGGGCATCATGGAACTTACTAAATCTTTTAATATTTGTCCTTTTCTCTAAAATCTTCAGAGATAGAGGTGCCTGGGTGGCACAGTCAGTTAAGTGTTTGACTCTTGGTTTCGGTTTAGGTTGTGATCTGAGTCATGAGATCGAGCCCCACGTCAGGCTCCACTCAGCATGGAGTCCGCTTGAGACTCTCTCTCTTCCCCCCTCCCCCCACGCCCACGTGCTCTTTTTCTCAAATAAATAAAAATAAATCTTAAAAACAAATCTTCAGAGATAAGACTTGAGGACCATGTCTAGAGTAAGGAGGAAAATATGACTCAGCAAACATGACCCGCTTAACCACATGTTTGTTACAGGGGATACTAATAAGTAAACTAACTCATGGGAGAAGGGGTATGAATTAGCATGAGAACCAACGTCTCTTAAAATTTGGGAGATCAGGGGAAAAAATAGCTTTAAAAATCCTTCTGAATATGTAAGACCCATTTTGGCTTATTAAGAAAGGCAAATTAGGATAAAACCTTGCATGTGATCTCGTAAGGAACAAAGGCCACAAAGACTGGGAGACCACTGTAATCCAAACTTTTGTCCTAAACACAAAACCATAAAAAGAAGGGTTTTTGTTCCTGAGAAGACAGCAAATTCACTCTGGCTACCATGTGATGGAAGGGTAACAGCAGATAAGAAGAGGGAAAAAGAAAATCAAGAAAGAATAATTCTGGAGAAAGGTGGTGGTTCAGATATTGAGGGGGGTCAATGGAGATCATGCTGCAATATATAAATGCATTCAAATCAAAACACTGCATACCTTAAACTTACATGATGCTATATCTTATGTTTTTAGAAAAGATTTTATTTATTTGAGAGAGAGAGAGAGTGCACAAACACACATGTACGAGTGGTGGGGAGAGGCAGAGGTTAGCAGACTCCCGCTGAGCAGAGCCCGATGCGGGGCTCGATCCCAGGACCCCAGGAAAATGACCTGAGCTGAAGGCAGATGCTTAACTGATTGAGCCACCCAGGCACCCCTATCTTATCTCAATTTAAAAAAGAGAGCAAGATCACAGAGGTAGGAATGATATAGGAGAACGAAGAGAAAATGTGGAATCAGGACCCTATTTCAAATTCCATAACTACCGCTAACTAAACAAGCTCCCAAGCTCCGTACTGACACTCTGAACTAAAGTTTCCCGCCTTAATTACTTCTCAAAGTTGTTTTGTTTTGTGAACCTCCTATGAAGATATACATGAAAACCATTTGGAAACAGAAAAGTGTAACTAATAGTAGTTACATTGTTTAGCTTATAATCTAAGTTTGAACCTCAAAGGAAAAGGCTGAAATGAGAAATGTGAAGCAAATTTATTTTATTTTTTTAAAAAGATTTTATTTATTTGAGAGAGAGAGAGAACAATCACAAGCAGGGAGAGCGGCAGGCAGAAGGAGAGGGGGAGAAGCGGGCTCCCCGATGTGGGACTCAATCCCAGGACCCTGGGAACATGACCTGAGCCAAAGACAGCCGCTTAACCGACTGAGCCACCCAGGCGCCCTGCTAAGCAAATTTAAAGCAGACTCTTATACTCTTACTCAAAGATATTTGTGTTTGTACCTGGAAAACTTAAAAGGCCCTGGCACATGGCAGGCACTAAGTACATGACTGCTGAATTGCTCAAAGGGCTAAGAATAAACATAAATATTTCTTTATGGAAACCTTTAATGTAGTTATTTAACATTTCATATCATCATTTAACTCTTTTCATACTTGTATGTATCATCCCTCCCTGGACTTAATGTCCAGTCTTAAAACACAAAATGAATTATCCAAACAATGTTAATTTATTAAATGACCTTGCAACACTTCCTTCCTGGGAGATGACTGAAGTACCTTAAAAAATACTTGACTGGAAAAATAAAGTCCTTTCTTAAGTGAGAAAATACCAGCTTATTATATGCCAATAAACTGGACAACCAAGAAGAAACATAAATTCCTAGAAATATATAACCTTCCAAAGCTGAATCAGGAAGAATAGAAAATTCGAACAGATCAATCACTAGCAATGAAAATAAATGAGTAATCAAAGTACTCCTAACAAAGAAAAGTTCAGGACCAGACAGCTTCACAGGTGAATTCTACCAAACATTTAAAGAAGAATGAATATCTATTCTTCTCAAATTATTAAAAAAAGAATAGAAGAGATGGGGCGCTTGGGTGGCTCAGTCGTTAAATGTCTGCCTTCGGCTCAGGTCACGATCCCAGGGTCCTGGGATCGAGCCCCACATCGGGCTCCCTGCTCAGTGGGGGGGTCTGCTTCTCCCTCTCCCACTCCCCCTGCTTGTGTTCCCTCTCTTGCTGTCCCTCTCTCTGTCAAATAAATAAAATCTTAAAAAAAAAAAAAAAAAAAAAGAAGAGAAAGGAAAGCTTCCAAATTCATTCTATGAGGCCAGCATTACCCTGGTTAAAAAAAAAAAGAAAGAAAGAAAGAAAAAAAAATACCATCTTATTTTATCATAATTTCTAGCAGAAGAAGCATGGGACTAAACCACAGGAGGCCTGGGCTTTAGACCAAATCTCTGCTATGATGAACCACAGAAGAGGTATCACCTATAAGGACAGAACAAAACCTCTGTCTTTATGTATCAGGGGCCTTAACAGTAATGATGACATTTCACTTACTTCTAAGAAATGATCCTAAGTAAATAATCTGAAAACC